GTCCTTGTCCAGGAAGTTGGGAGCCCAGATCTCGAGCTGGCTCTCGTCACTGAACGACTCGTCGAGCGCACCGGCGACAGTCCCCGTGGCCAGCAGCGGCAGCTCTGCAGACGGCGACCATGCGAAAGTCGAGGTTCGGTGGATTTCCTTTAATTTCATGGAACGTGGAAGGAAGGGAAGGAGAGTAGAGAAAGTGTCCGTTGACGTGGATCAAGACTTGTTGATCACATGATCTCGGAAACGTTTCAAGGTGGGTTGTAACCGTTGCAACCCACGAGGGGTGTTATGAAAGTCATCAGGCTTTTACAGGTGAACTTAGGAAGGTGCTCGTTATTCTGCAGCACTTCATTGTCATCAATTCTTGGGGTCCACCGTAAGACTGCAAGTGTGAGCATTGCCAAGATCGCCTTATGTGCAAATGAACGAGAGATTCAAGGAAAGAAGGCATGGGTGCGTAGTTTTATCAGCGTTTCGAGGCATACAGTATATCAACCCATAATTCAAGCTCACTACAGCCCACTACCTCGACCAGACTCCGATTCCACTCAACCAGCAATGCGTGATGCACAGATCTTCAAGCAATGAGGGTGCTAGCGGTGGACGCGTCGTACTTGAACGTGGGCGGGATCTGCTGCTTCGTCTTGTAGTAACGCGCCAGTCGGTGGATCCTGGACTCGATAAGAATGAGACGGAACTTGGAGTCCTTGTCTTTGCGGTTAGCGTCAAGATGCTTCCGTACGGCGACAGCCTTTTTAATCAAGTAGTACAGGTCTTCGGGGATGGATGCAGCAAGACCTGCGGAACAGGCAAGGAATCAGTTTAATGGTCCAGTCCTACGCTGATCTTACGCACCCTGGCTCTTGAGTATACGCAGAATCTTGTTTCCTGTCAAGAATCGCACTTGAGGGACGCCGTGCGAGTCACGGAGAGTGACACCGATTTGGGAGGGGGTGAGACCTTTACGAGCCAGCTTCACGATGTGCTCGACGACCTCTTCCGGGGAAGTCTTGAGCCATGTCGGGGGAGCGCGGCGGTAAGGAAGTGCAGAGGACGCTGAAATATGAATGGAACCTCAGAGCCAGGACGAGAAGAATATTGTGTAGAACGCACAAATGCCCTTGCCCGGTGCGTGCATACGACCCATGATGAATGCTGCAGATGGATCAGATCTCCTTGCTCATGGTATTGCACCGTATTTAACGTACAAGTTCGGAGGGATGTCGGTCTTGAAGGATGTGCTTGAGGACGAGCGAGCGATTTCTCAATATGCGCGTGTTTGCCAGGGGATGATGTGACGTTGTCACCGACGTCGTGACACTAGTCAGTACCACACGTGACACGACAGTGTCTCGTCAATCCTATTAGTGCAGGTCTCAGTGAAGTGGCGACTTTAAGAAGAGGATAAATGTGTGCGTATATAGTATATATATACATGTTAGTGATGGGCCAGACTTGAGGAAAAGAATGTTTCAGGAAACTATTCACGGGGTCCCAGAAACGGTGCCAAAAAACACTACGCCGATTGTCCCGATTTGGAAAGCTCGGGTCATAAAGATGATACTAGTACACAACCTATGAGATAATGACAGCGATATGGATCATTTCAATATTCCAGGCCCCCACTCCAACCACCCTTATCTCTCACCCCAGCACTCCCCCATTTGCTCTTGCCTTTGCTCTTCCTTCCGTTCAGCTCCTTGTACATCTCTCGCATCTCTAATTTGCCTGGGGACGCAGTGACTTCGGCTTCCATCCGCCATTTCTCCTCTTGGATCTCCCGGGGCGTCTGAATTCCAGATCGCTCCGGCGAGACGTAACCTGATCGGGGGACGCTGGAAACTCCGGTGGTAGACATATTTGGAGGTGTGCGTCGACCGGCGGTCTGAAGGAAAGTTGTTCGCTAGGCGTGATCAGATCGCAGCAGAGGAGGAGAGAGATAGCGAAGAGACACACACCCAGCTCTGCTTCGACTCTCGTTTCGTCCATTTACCCGCAGGCAGGCTCGAATCGTGGAAGTTCTCTTTTCTATAATGCTGGAACCAGACTGGACTGAGAGTCAGTTTCGCCTAAAGATACCTGGAACGGTGCGCACTGTAGTTAATCGTCTGACTTCTATGCCATTTCTTCGACACAAGTGCGCAGTGCGCCAGATCCCGAACTGGAAGCTGACCGAAGATACGCTGATTGATATCCGTTGGGAGTGCCTTGAGCAAGTCCCGTCGCGATGAGAGGTGAAGAGGACCGGGTAGCGGTCGACTAGCGGCTCCATTAGCCGTTCGAGTGGGTGAAGGGGGGCGAGTGCGTGCTGGCGTTCCTGGGAGGGAAACCTGGGTGGTAGTCAGTGTGTAGTTCTAGAATACTTGATAATCTGGTGCACGCACTACATTAACCAGTTCGTCGTCGGAGTCGTCTGAGGTAGAGCAGTCATTGTTTAAACGACGCTCCGGGGATTTGGGGTCCGGGACTTGGGACCGCAGGACGCCTTGAAGCAAGCTCATAGTGGTAGCGGAGGGAGAAACGTTGATCGCTGAGGAGATCCAGGTTCTGACGTCATATCCCACATTACATAATCTGCCGTGGCTCTGTTTCGTGTCCGTCATGATAGGTCATGATGATGACTGAAGTCGGCACCACAGTTTGGTCGAAAGTGTGGAACGTGGATGTCTTGCACAGTCTGCCCGCACAATTCTCGAGCGGTTTCTGCCTATTTACTGCCGGACGAGACTTGAACTGTGTAGTTGATGTTACATTGTGCCTACGGAAATACTTGCAGTACTAAACTAAACTAAACTCAAAGTGATGCTGAGGGATCTGCGACCGATGTGCAAGGGCGGAATGGCATCGACTCATCATTCGAGTGTATGACAAAGGGCGGTTTGTTTTGGGTATCGCATCCACAGTCCTCACCAATGTCTATTTCGCTTTTCGGATGCCAGCGACCTTGACCACCCACTACGGATCACTCACACTGCATCATGATGGTCAAGCTGACGGAGTGAGTCTCGTGACGAGTCATGTAGTTTCCCCATTAGGGCAGCGGACGCAGTGCATACACTTCGTCCCTTCCATCACAAACATCGTATACTTCAATGGCTGACATGGACGTTGACCCTCCCCAAGGAAAGAAGGAGGGCAAGGAGAAAGAGGGAAAGCAGCGTTTCGAAGTCAAGAAGGTTTGTTGTCACTCCTGGTCGGCCCTCCATGCCACTAACAAGTCGCCGGTGCGGTGCACAGTGGAATGCTGTCTCGCTCTGGGCATGGGGTACATCCTTTCGCCACTGAATGCCATTATTATCTAAACTCACATCGTGTAGACATCGTCGTTGACAACTGCGCCATCTGCAGGAATCATATTATGGATCTATGTAAGCACACGACCGATCTTGCGTCGTCCGCGCTCTGATCCGCGCAACAGGCATCGACTGCCAGGCTAATCAAGTCTCTGCGACCTCTGAAGAGTGCAACGCCGCCTGGGGTATCTGCAACGTACGGGATGTTAGTTGTTGTCAGTATACCCAACTAAGCCTTCCCCGAAGCACGCATTCCACTTCCACTGCATCTCGCGTTGGCTCAAGACGCGTAATGTCTGTCCTTTGGACAACCGTGAATGGGAGTTGCAGAAGTGCGTCCCAGTATCCACTCGTTTCTAGATCACTTCTGATAGTCATTCTCATGCACAGATACGGACGGTGAAAGTCCCCAAGCCTTTTGTATACTAGAAGACGATCTCCGAATGTACTCTGCTCCGAATATCGCCTTGTTCGCGTCGCATCGTGATTCCGTTCAGAGAAGAATATGCAAAATGCAATAAATTAGGCCGTAATAAACTCGGAAATCATACGCCAATGAAGAGCTGCCATACACCCTTGGCATACGAGACGATTTCATCTGCCCCCAACTTGCTCTCACCGAATATCCGATCGACAAAGGTGATCGGGACTTCGCCTACAGTATAGCCCAGTGCCTTGGCACGTACCATCATCTCCATCTGAAAAACGTAGCCCTTGGACTGTGTTTCCGCGATGATGTGCCTCAGTACCGGCAAGCGGTACAGACTGAGAGAAACATCATGTCAGCCAGAAACAGTGGGGTGTCGTACTATTTATTACTCACCGGAAACTACCCGTCAAGTCACTCACACCAGGGTTCAGCACGGTGTCGGCGAGGAAGTTAGCACCTCGGGAGACCATCTTGCGTTTCAGATCCCACCCGTGGACTCCACCTGGTTGTGCCTCGGCAAGATATGGCTTGGATGACGAGCGGTAACGTGTGCCCGTGACAATGTCGAGGTTGTGCGCTTTCTGCAACGCGATGAATTGGGGAATAAATTTGGGCTGGAAGTCGGTCAGTCCACGATTTCATAAAGACTGTGCCGATTGCACGAACGTGATGAGAGAAGTCGGCGTCCATGATTATAACAAAATCTCCGGAGCAGAAGTTTAAACCATGAATGTACGCAGTTCTCGGGACAGTTTGAGCTGGGTAACCGGACGAACAAAGCCATAGAAGAGTCTTACCCGAGCCCGAGCTTGCCCGCCCGCGGTTTAAGAACCTGGATACTCATTACTTCCAGGACTTTACATTCCACATGACCGCGCACCACTTTATCCTCCCCGTAAACGCTTGCGAGCTGTTTAGCAACCTCCTGGGTACCATCCGGACTCGCATCGTCGACAACAATGATCTCCCATGCGAGCTGGCTACGCAATTCAGAGCCAGATCTCGACGCGGCGTGCACCCCGATGCAGTACACACTTTTGTTCGAACACCCTCGCTAGGAGCCAGACGACTATAGGAAGATTCTTGCGTTCGTTATAGGTTGGCAGAATCACAGAGTATTTGTGAGTGTCCGAGGTTGCGAACTGGCCCTGCATCGTCAACGACACGTTGCTTTCGAAAGGATTCATCTCGGTGTCACGCGCTTGTGACACTGGGCGGGATTGGCGCATGACCTGGTGACATGCCAATTCTGGGTTCCGAATTCGTTCTCGATGGGTCCGCGCCGCTATAGCACAAAGGTAGTGCATCGCTTTCCTATGATATTTGGGTGCTGTTCAAGTCTAGGCGAAGGCTGCGAGTTCGAGTCTCGTCATCGGTTGTCGATTTTGGCTCGGCTCTGCAGCAGAGCTCACGGTCTCAATTTTTGAGTCGTCGTCAGTTGCTAGTATCTGCGTACCACAGACCCCTAAGTATGCCGACATCTTCATCCACCCATCCTGCCGGCATGCAAAATTTGAGCCTTCCTTCCTGCCCCATATTCGCCCTTTGAACGCATGTTCCAAAGACATCGTGAATTGAAAGCCAAGATGGTCATCGTCAATTGAATCATTTGCATAAGATCAAGATTCCAAGAAAGTTGCAGGTTATAATTCGAGACGATAGTCCTATTATGATATCTATCATACGCCAAACGTACAACACCGACACAACAGATACATCAATGCCCTCCATGACCGAAGTGGAACTGGAATTGGCCGCCGCCAGGGAACCCACTTCCTGGGAATCCACCACCAGATTGCTGGAAGAACTGTGCAAAAGGGTTTCCACCCTGCTGGAATGGGCTTCCTGAAGAAGGGTCGTTTGGGTCTTCACCATTGTCGAACCGCGCTCGCAATTCTGACAGCCACTTGAGCATTGCACGGTCAAGACATAAGTAGCCGCGCACCAGGATTTGACAAAACTTCGTAAGCCTCATTGACCGCAGCCATCTTTTCTTCCGACCCCCCTTTGTCAGGATGCGCCGTCTTAGCTGCTGTTCGGCTAGATAGAAGGTGAGAACAAGCAGTGCCCACCAAGATAACTCGAAGCTTACAACGCTTTCTTGATTGTTCTCGCGTCTGCGTCTCGGGAGACCCCTAGAACCTTGTAGTAATCTTTCTGCTTGCTTTGCTTGAGCAATCGTTGTGCTTTTTGGAGGCGAGCTTGAAACTAAGGAAAGAATCAATGCTATGTTGGAAGGCTTGAACGAGAACACTGACATCACGATCACTTCGCCCAGTGGCTTCAAACGCGCGTTCCAGATACCTCACTCCCTCCTCGTACTCCTCTTTCACGACATATGCCTCGCCCAATCCGCGCAAAGCATCAGCATCATTGTCACCCTCGTCCATCGAATACAGCATGCGACACCACTCTTCACCCTTGCGATGCTGCTCAGTCAGTGTATGTCCTTTACAGAGATTCCGGAGCATAGCACGACGCCGGGGAGACGACTTGGTGTAGCTGACGAGCAGGATTTGTCCCTTGTCGAGAGAGAACAGCTTCAGGTGAGCGGGAGCCAGCTGTTCAGCAGCAGCTTCCTCGAATTTCCGATAGATATCGCCTTTCCTTCCAGTGCCTTTGAGGGTCGCAAGGGCTCCCCGCCAGTCACCGTTTCCACCCTGCTCTTCAGCCATGTTGTATCCACGCTCGAGATTCTTCGAGATTCGGTGCAGCGGAAGGCAGACACGGGACTCGGGATCAGAGTGCAGACATTGCTTGACAGCATTGGCGGCAAGCGGAGATGGAGGAAGGAGGAAGAATGAAAGGCGGAATATCAGTGCATGTAGTTCTTGCGTTTGAGACTCGGGAAGCAGAACAGATAAGCGACTCATATCGCCAACGGCACCTTCGACGTCTCCTGCACCAAGAGCACACTCCACACGGATGCTGCGCACAGTGGTGCTGTGCGTTGCAATGCGCAATGTGCGACTCGAAGTCTCTATACACGCGTTCCACAGTTGGGCCAAGCGTTCCTGTTTCGCCTGCTTCGCATTGACCTCAGCCTCGCTGATGTCGTTGAGCAAATTGCTCTTCTCTTGCATCTCTTTCTCTCCGCCAGTGTACTGTTCCAATGCCGCACGTGCGAGTGCGAAGTCGCCGTCTTTGGTGTGAATACGCGCTTGCATGAGATACGCGGAAGGCAGGGGTGTGATCTTCAAGACGTGGCCAAAGTCTTCCAGAGCTGCAGCGTGCCGTCCCGAGGATAGATACGCGGTTCCGCGCTTGTAGAATAATAAGTAGTCGGCGGGAGATTGTTCTGACCAATAGTGAGCACATTTCATCTGTTCAGCCGCTTTCATGATGCACGGCTGCCGAATGAACTTGCTGTACCTATAGCTTCGCTATACGCCCTCGCTGCATCGCCGAACTGCCCGCTCGACAGAAGTACATTAGCCCTCGCGATCAGCGGCTGCAAACCAGGAGGGTAGAGGCCAGTCCCAGGGTCTGCCGAAGTGCTCGTGCTCCGTGAAAGAATGAAAAGGAGAGACGAGGTCAGCGCGGCCAAGCGCATGGTGGTTGAAGTCAAGGTCAGAGCTAATTGATGTCATTGTTTGGCCAGTACAGACTGCCACGTTTGGATACGTGTAAGTTTGTACGAATAAGCTACATACGAAACTTCGATTATGAGTCGCTTCTCGTTTCGAGCCTCACCGCAATGCGCAAGTGCACCCATGTATTGCGCGCACGCAAATCCAGATGATCGGCGCAACTTCATCTACACAGACTGGGCACAAGAATTTGGGATACACATTTCATCTCTCTGGCAGTCCCCGTCCAAGCTCCGTCCAATTGGAGTCGGACGAGTATGCGCAAACAGTAGGGCATTCCACGACCGAAAAACGATAGATTAAAAGTACAGATGACAACGCAGCGAATGAAGGGATCGAAGATTGCGAGAGTTGCAGGCTGACTAGAAGCGTGCTGATATCCGATCAGATCCACTGGGCTTTATCCCAAGCAGGGTCTTGCATGAATGCACAGAGCACTTTGCTCCCAGTCTGGTCAAATCAGCGCACTGACGGCGAGATCAGGGACCAGATTATACCTACCTGAAGTAACGGGTGACCGGCGACAAATGTCAGGAACCGCTCGAGACCCTCTCTCCTGCTCTCAATAACCTCGTCAGAGAACCGGTTGGTGAACACTTTGCCAGGTAGTGGAGGGATGTTCACACGCGTTAGTTCACGCTCGAGTATATCTCGGAAGGCTTCGAAGTCAGAGTATCGGCGGCGTACGAGAGAATGCCTGAGTTTAAATGCCGGAATGTTGGTCTGAAATTGAGAGAAGTGAGGGCGGTTCAGTTGCAATGCGCCGCTTTCGTACCTTGCACACGATCTCGTAGTCGGTGTACATCTTGCGGCCAAAGCCTGCAACGCATCGTAAGAGACGGTAGGAAACACAACCCATATGCATAGGTTCACGGATATCGTCAACTTACCATGAGTCTGAGGATTGCGCACTTCGATCTCCAAAAAGCTCTCTGGAACGCTGTACATCTCTTCTATCTATAACCGGCTTGTTTGTGACTTCGAATGATACAGATCGAGAGGAAATTCACGGTTTGAGAGCGACCAAACGGAGTCGTCTCAGGTGCTGCACTGCGTGCAAAGGGCGAAGCGGTGGCCATGGCCGAGAGTGGGAGGAGTGAACAAGGAGATACGTGAAGTCACATTGTGATGTGTGACTCACATTTGGGTTGTGACCAGGACTCGACGCGTCAAAGAAAGGAACGCGTCTGAGTTGGGCAATATCCAACAGGGGATGGTACCAGACCTTGATGACACTCAGCGGGTACTAAAATCCACTTGCGTTCTAAAAGATTATTAACGTCCCTACAGACAGTCATCCTCATCCCGTATGAGGAGGAAGCAGATGGTTCGCTCTCTTGCCTGCAATCCGAATTGTGGACATTTGACGGATTTCAGAATCGTAGTGGATACCCCGGCTCTCTTGCCGTCGCCGGTCTTTGAGCATGATCTGTCCACCGGTCCACAGCTGCGCCTATCCGCTTACAAATACGCATGGCGGCTCTGCCTGGATCGAATGAAGGTGAACGCCTAACTTGGCTTCCCTACATCCTCACTCATTCCAGCAGGAAGTGATCAACGAACTGTATCAATCCGTCGTTTCAGACGTAGTGGATTGCTTAAATGGTGTCCATGAAGATGTCCTGCCTGGGCTGCCGGTCAAAGAGATACCGGTTGTGACCATCGCTGGTGTGCCGATCTATCCCGCCTCTAACTGCTGCTTTGCTGACGCGTTATTAGATTCACACGGTGGCTCGGTGCTTCTTGATCAACTGAGCGAGCGATTGGACTTGACGCTTGTGAACCATTTGTATCCGAACGACTGCCTCACTGTGATGAGTGGCATGAAAAGTCTTATCGCGGGATTTGTGGACAGGGATGAAGGCACGCCTATCTTCTTGCACAATTGGTATTTTTTCACGACGGTATCAGCAGATGCTCCCAGGAGGCGGTCGGCCTCGTCATTGGCGCCGTATGACATTGAGCTGCTTCAAGCATGGTATGATGCACAAGAAGATTCTCAGAGTCTCGTTGTTTTGCTCCACGACTTTGAGCAGTTCGATGCCAACGTCGTGCAAGATATGATTTACATTTGCAGGTACGTTCTCAAGCGCTGCCACCCTTGGAGGGGTCTGACTCGCATAGCTTGCATTCGTCGACCATGAAGATGGCATTCGTACTCTCAATGTCAACTCCGTCGCCATCTTCCTATCTTCAAGCAGCCTTTTCGCGATCAACACTGACCCTTTTGCGTCCGTATCATTTTGCGGGCCCAGCAGGGATCGATACGATGAACCAGATTCTCCTCAAGGTCGATAGCGCTTTACCTTTCTGAACCTGGCCTAAATATTTCAGGTGTTCTTTCACTTTCCAACGGATCTTGTCGTTCTTCCTGGTCCCAGTTTACTCGAGTTTGCCGAGAACTACTACAAGACGTACAATCCCTCGTTAGACGTGCTAACCAGCATCTTCCAGGTAAATTCAAGTCGCTATCTCAAGAGACATTGCACTTATTTTTGTCCTAGATCGCTCATCTCAAACACTTTGCTATCGATTCAATGTCCTTTTTGTCGACTAGCACACCACCCTTGGCAGAAGCTGAGCAGAAAATCATCGAACAAGTGGGAGCGCGGCTCGATCCTGATGGCGACCCGAAACAGGACTCGCAGGGGGTCCTTTCACAGTTGATCGATGCTACTCGCGACTCTTTCTGGCGCGGGGCTCGAGATATTCGACTGGGCATGACGCTTCTGGGTCTGATCATGCAGTTCTTGCGACACCACGAGCGCAGCCGGGACAAAGTGCTCAACAAGTGGCGCAGTGCTAGTGCAGTCAGCCGTCGCCTGGATGATAATCCCGTTTCTGGACTAGCAGAGTTTTTGCGGTGAAGTCAAATCATTTGTGCTCTAGACCAGTTCTCAGACTTGGCAGCAGGAAACTGAGTGCAAGTGATCTCGATGGCATACTGGGCTCGTGGCACTCCTACTTTTATCACATGTCAAGCACCTCTGCCTCACTAGCAGATTTCCTGCCTGCTCGCAAGAAGATTATCCACTTTCGCAGCAGCAAGAGCAAGAATCTGACTGTCGAAAGCGCCGGCTGGATGGAGTCATATCTTGATAGTCTCTTGCAGCCATTCGAGAAATCCTCGAGACTTTGGAATGTCTGGTACACTGGCCAAGCACCGTTCCCGTCGGATGTGCGTATGGGGTAGTTCGATTCTCATGCCCATTCACTCAGCTGCTCCAGCTACTGAATCCTGCAATCCGACCGTCCATTTTCTCTGCGCTTTCGTTTCCTTATGCGTACACATCATTGCCGGAAGACGAATACCCCGATGATCAGTCAGAAGCCAGCGCCGAATTCATCGACGTGAGCGTGCTGTTCAAGGGCTACGTCAAAGCAAGCAAGATGGTCAATGTGTACGACTGGTTCGACCACTTCCGGGTCACCGCTGAATCGCAACGGTCAAATGCATTGGCTGGATCGTCGCCAAAAAAGAGGAGGAGCAAGAAAGAGCCGGACGAACAGTGGAAATTGACTGTCCAGGCCCGTTTCATGCGTGGCCTTCATGAATTAGATTACATCGGTTTACTGAAGCATACCAGCCGGGGTGGTGCCGGTCGAAAAGGAGAGCATATTATGAGGACCGCGTTGAACATTGTCGAGTAGTGTGCCCGGGTCTGCTTTTCATATATTATAATCAGATTCCAAGTGGTCTATATGCATCACCTGACAGGACAGAGCGGGACGAGCGGTCGTTCACAGCGTATATGTACATCGGATATCGCGGGCCGAAAAGATTGTGCTGTGAGCATAAGATAGTGTAATGAGCGGCGATTGTGAGCGAAGGTATATTAGCCTATCAGTGAAATAGTCACACATCGCACATGATGGTATGTATGTAGCAGCTGTCAGAAGAATGCGTGCGAAGCCCTCCGATGACCGTCATAGAGGCATGACGCCCACAAGGATCACAGAGCCAGAGCATCCCAAGAGTAAGGTCAAAGCCAGGACCGTCATCTCGCCGGCCAGAGTAAGAAACGTCGGAGAACACACCGGCCGTATTGTTTTAGGACTCAGTAGTTCCATATCTTCAGCTGCTAGATGCCAACTCGCTCGCAATCCATTGCACAAGACTGCGCGTTTCTAGAGAGTCGCAGTGTATATGGTGGATCGGACGCAAATTTCCCGTAGACAAGGCAAGCCGGGATTTCTCTCTTAACGTTGCCATTTCGTTGGGCTTGTGTTGGCCCACATACATACATATCTATAGACAGATCGCTTGCGAAATCTGTCAAGTATGGGACAGGATCCTGACCCTAACCTTACACTCATGCAGACTGTCATGTGCAGCTGCCCAGTCACACGTAATCAAACTTGCTTTTGGCGTCGCTCGCCAGACCGTCCTCAAGGTAATGTCCGGCGTTGCGGCCGTTGTGACCGACTGACTCCCTTACAGACAACGATGGGTATGCCCTTTCCCACTCATCTAGATTTCCACCGATCGAGGTCTTTTATCAGTCAATCTCCGCTCTCAAAAACGGCTCGCCGCCTCCGTCAAGGGCGTTGGCCAGCGTAAAATCTGGCTGAACCCCGCGGAGCAGTCCGAGATCGCCAGCGCCAACTCGCGCTCCCACATCAAGAAGCTGATCAAAGAGGGCGACATTATTATCAAGCCGACCACGATCCACTCGCGCGCACGCACGCGGGCACTGCTCGCTGCAAAGAGGAAGGGTCGTCATACTGGCCCGGGTAAAAGGAAGGGTACTGCGGAGGCTCGTATGCCGACGAAGGTGTTGTGGATGCGGAGACAGCGTGTGCTCAGGCGGTTGCTGCGCAAGTACAGAGAGGCAGGAAAGATCGACAAGCACCTGTGCGTCCAACGATCTTTCTGCAAGCTTTTTTCAGATATTGACCAACTGCGTCTCTCTTCCAGGTACCACTCTCTGTACCAGAAGTCCAAGGGTAACGTCTTCAAGAACAAGCGTGTGTTGATGGAGTACATCCACAAAGCCAAAGCCGAGAAGAGCCGTACCAAGGTCCTTACCGACCAGATGGAGGCCCGCCGTGTCAAAAACAAGGTGTGTTACCTGATGCGGTATTCTCGGATTGTCTTCTCACTTCTCTTAGGCTGCGCGCGAACGTCGTGCTGCTCGTATCACCGAGAAGCGATCTGCGTTCTTGGCCGTGGAGGAGGGTGCCGTCAAGGAGTAAATCTACTTATGTCGTGTCTCCCCATGTTCCATCATGCCATCATGCCTCTTTTGCACACATATACTGCTCGCACAGATCCGTCCGGATATTATTGATCATGGGCACTGCTTGGTTTTCTCTTTGATGCTCAGTCTCATTCCAAGTAGTAGCAGGTACGTGCAGACTTGTCTATGTAGTCCTAGTCTACTTCCTCTTCCCTCCACTGCTAGTACCTTTCTTGAGGTCTGCCACGATCTTCTCAACCTCAGCGACATATCGGTCGGACAGCTTTTGAAACTGCAGGAGGTCAGAGTAAGGCTTTGTAGTCCAGACAGCGCGCACTTCTTCCAGCTCGATAGAGTGCTTTTTGTATTTGCCTCGTTTCAGACTGGTCTGATGAAGCTTTCTGATCTGGACTCTGATTTCTTCGGCCTGGCGACTGGATGCAGCTATCAGGGCGGCGTTGGATTCAACCGTAGGTCTGACGCGTCGTTGATGAGCCAAGCGCGTTTGCATGGATTGCAAACGTACTTGGGTATGGGAATCTTGATCGTGCGCGCGTCGTGCTTTTGCGGAACGACGTTGGGCAATTTGGAGTCGTACAGACCGCTTTCCACGAATTTCAGGTTCTAAGGCGCGAGCCGGATCTATCAGCGTCAGGTTGGGCGAGTCGACGCCACAGTACGGATGGGACACACCTCTTCCTCGAAAAGCGTGATCATCAACGTGGACCCATCTCGCACGCCGATAGTTGCAACCTCGTCGAGTCGATAGTCTTTGTCGCCACCAGGGAGCTTGACTCTGACGGAGTCCAGCATGGACGGCGTGACACGTCCCATGACGCGGCTTTCAGCTGCAGAGCACTGCTTCCGGTACCAAGTGACTGCTGTTTTCATTGCTTCTTCTGCTTTAGAGTATTCTGCGCGCGCTGCCTCGTCCGTAATGGGCTGCTTCGAGCCGGGCACGAAACTAGCAGTGGATTTGATCTCTTTGCTGGCATAGAGCCGTCGATGGACAAGAGGCAGGTGGTGCACTGCAAACGGATGCCCCAAGCTCGAGGCCGCCCGAAAACGAATACCGCTGCAAGCTCGTGCAACGGTCTGGAGCATACTTTCAGTAAGTTTGCAGACTCGGAGAACCTAACAAAGATGCAAGAAAGTCAGGGTCACGTGGATGATCACAAGCTCGGATCACCAAATCCGACGTTGTCATTTCTTGCGAACCGCGATGCCGTTCAATTTACCGGGCGCGCTAGTGCCTTTCCAAATCCTCTTCAATCCCAGAGTAATACTACCCAATCTAGCCATAAAAGGTGACTTTTCTGAAGCTCTAGTGTTGTTGTGGTCTAAAGACATAAACGTAGCAAGATATTCGCCATCTGGACTTTGCAGCTCTGAAAGAGGCAGGGTACCGAGGCATAGTATTCGACAAAGACAACTGCATAGTGGGGCACCTGTGGAACCTTAGATTTAACGCTCACCTGCCTGCAGACTGTGCCTCATAAGGACAACCTGGTACCAGAATTGACCGTACGTGTGTTCGCTGGAAAGATGCTATACAATTTTCATCTGAAGACCGCGCAGGAAGCCTGGGAAGACTGCCGGAGGACTTTCGGAGATGGGAATGTGCTAATTGTCAGCAACTCCGCTGGTTCACACTCAGACCCTGCGGGAATCGAGGTTCGTCCATGAGGTGATCCTCTCGCGGGACTGGCTCAACGGCCCTCACCTAGGCCGAATCGGTCAAGCGGAATCTTCAAGTTCCAGTTCTTTTCCATGCGACACCAAAACCCGGCTACTCTTGTGTCAAAGCCATCCGTACTTATTTTTCCTCGCTCCGCGATCCCGTGCGCCCAGAGCAGCTTGTCATAGTTGGCGACCGGATATTCACAGACGTCGTGCTCTCGAACAGAATCCGACTATCGGAGCGTGGTTCTGGTTTCCTGCACATGTGGTTCCGCTGCGCATACGAACGAGGGGGGGCTACGGTGAAGGAAAATTTGGACACTGCGCATCGTAGCATTGATTCGGGGCCGCTGTCCGTCTGGACGACGGGCGTTTGGAAGAAAGAAGCCACTTTCATGCGTTGGTGTGAGCGCAAATTGGTGGAGTTCGTGCGTCGACGGACCTCACCCGAGGAGGGGCATGATGCCAGCAGTCCCTCTATCTTCATCAAAACTGTGGCGGAACAACCCGCGCTACCCGCCAGTCGTTTGCGAAAAGTCTGGCAATTCTTGTCAAGGACATGAGTAGGCTGGTACGTCGAGGTACTATGCTTGTGGAGGACCACCCTGATATGCAGCGTCTCTGCTCAGCATAGATCACTTCGCAGGTGTCCTTTCTAGGCGGGCATCATGGGAATAGTGCATGTACACACAGTGTCCTTAAACCCGTGTACTTACTACGAGATGTCCCAACCCCCAACTTCGGCAGCACACAATCCCTCCCATGTTCCAGTCCACCCATCATCGTTCAATCCCGTCTGCTCAGACCAGTCTGCGATCGCTTTGCGCGCTTCGTCGAATGGAAGAGCATGATTCCGGAGAGTGTCGACGAGGGCCGCGTACGCGTGCAGTGCTCGATGGTAAGGAATAAGAACGTTTGGTAATGTTGATACTAAAGAACATGAGTGGTTTGCGGAGAAAGACGAAAATGCCTTGAGCAGTTATTACCGAAGCGGTCTACAGACCAGGTCACCCAGAGGGGTTCCTGCGTAGTCCATTGTGCGCCCTTGGTTCGATGTGCCTCAATTAGCAATGCATCCAGGCCATCGATTGTCGCGCACATGCGCCGAAAGATTGCGCGCTGCACGAAGCCAGCATAAGTTCCAATAGTTGCAGAAGAAATTCGAAGAGAACGCGCCAGTTTCTTCAAAACCACATTTAGTTCGACCAGACGCAATTCCATCTGTGATATCTTTGGTCCAAGGAGTCGAGATCGAGGCAGCCCATCGGGAATCGCGGTCAGCGCATTACTAGATAAATGCACCAGGATCTTCGCGAACAACAACGGCACAGACTCACTCGAGCTCCGTCCGTCCATCGACTAGCGCACGTGCGGCTTTCAGCCCGTCGACGACGGCTAGATCGTCCCAAGTTTCGGACAAAGCACGCAGTTCGTACAGAGCTGAACGTATCTTGCGATGATAGGTAGATTCAACTGCGCGCGAAGGAGAATCAGGGACTGGCGAGGGCGGGGGGAAGTTTGTGTTTTGATTAGATCGAGCCTTTGGGGACTTGGTTGTTTTAGGAGACACAGGGGAAGAGTTTGGAGTTGAAGGGCCCTTGAAGGAAGCCAGGCGATGGCTCATCGCTGTTGGTGAGTATCAGTAGATTAGATTTTGACGCGTGACGTCACAACTGCGTGTTTCCATTCATGTGCATGATCCCCATGACTCGGAGTGGATCGTGCCTCCTGGTCCTCCTAGGGCTTGGGCACAGCATCCGACTCGACCCTCTTCGAGTCTTTCTCCGTTGCAGCATCTCATGGTGCTTAAGGCTCTGTCCCTAACCGAGCTGGAACGGATGCTACGCGATTGATCATTTGTGTTAAGGTTGCAATATAGGGCAAGATAATGTACACATTTCTAAACTATAGCAGAGGCTCTCTGCTGCTCGATAAACGGTTGAGATGAATGTAAACGTCAGTTCCGAAGCCGTCCATCGCGATCAACCTCAAATCGCCCCCAAAATAACGCGCATACAGCCTGGAAAGCGGCAGACCGTACCCGAAGCCGGCCATCGGCGCCCTGAAGTCACTCGCATGGAAGTCCTGATCGATGGCTTGGCCTTCCATGGTGGTGTACATGTACGTCCAGATGAGCGGAATGGCACTGCGGGGGATGCCGCCGCCTTCGTCCGAGATCTTGATCGTGATATCTTCTTTACCTTCCACGACGATGATCTTGATCGGAGGAAAGTGGAAATCGCGGTCTTTCTCTTCGGCATCGACTCCGAAGCGTTCGACAACAGCACGAAGTGAGTTTTTGAGAAGCTCGAAGATGATGTGCGAGAGATGGCCGGGAACGTAGGGAAATATCAGATTTGGAGGACATATGAGCTGGACCGGCGGGGAACGGAACATTGCATAGTGCTCTTCACAAACAAAACGGGCGTTCTCGATTGATTCTTGGACGATGTCATGTACGTTCTAGACGCGGACTTAAGTAGAGAAAGACGGAGATACGGGACAGAACATACAGCTTCTGTGCAGATGATTCCAACATAGTCTGGGTGTGATTCTTGCGTATTGAGCGCAATGTCTGGCTGACGGTCAGCACCAATTCCTCAGAGCATGGAATACGAACGCTGCCCGATTAGGAATCGGATACCGATTCTGGACATGTAAAAGCGGTCCAGCCAAGCCTGGATGTCCAGTCCGATGTGCTTCGTTCGCATGCTCTTCTTCCACTCCAGTACACCTTGCGCTACTGTCGTCACAGTTGGATCGTGGCGGCTCTTGATCGTTTGCAGCGCCTTTGTAAAGCGCGTGTTATAGTCCGACACTTCCGGTGGCCAATTCACACCCTTCGGATTAGCATAGTACCTGTCATTATTAGGTAATGCGCAGAAGAGAAGTCAAGTAACACACCTTCTCTCCATTGGTACACGCATCCTCAATTTGTTGAATCCATTGCCGTTGGTGCCCGATGTACCGTGGCCGCCGTTCCCCCCGAGGCCGGTGATGCTCCCCATGGAATACCGCCCGTTGATAACCGCTGGATTTTCTGTCGACTCCGGAAACGGCGCATTCTCTGTCCGCGGTGGTGCCATGAGCGCTTGCCGGATCTCCGGCGGTAGGCTTGCAATGGGAGGAAAGTTGATGAGTTCCTATGCGCGTGTTCGATGTCGAAGGGGCCAAAGGGGATACGACAAGACTTACCTCAAACGATTGTGCGTACCAGTTCTTGACACGGTTGATAGAGGGCATCTCACTCAAGTTGTGGGGGAGCTCGTCCAGCTCCTTGACACGGTGGGCCAAGCGGACAGGGAGCTCCTCTGCGAGATGTCAGTCACATGCCGCAGATCCGAAGAGGCCGATGAGCGCACCAGACAAGAATTGGCTGGCCTTGAGCAGCGTGCCCTGACTCGGATTCTGCCCAAAGAGCACCATTTGCTGAAGTGAGACTGGCGCCGAATGAATGGCGTGCCGGGCAATGAAGAAATGCCTTGAAACACGTACCCCCAGTCTGAGGAAACGAAGCAAAGTGGTGGATCCGATCCCAGAGCGCGGGCGAGATGCGAAAGCCAGCAGACATGGTGCAGAGAAGAAAGCGTTGCCGGGCAGTCGTGTGCCGGTGTTTGGTTACGAGGGAAAGATACGAGAATGCACTTTTCGTCTCGGAATGTGGTGGTCTGAACTCAGGAGTGAGGGGCCGAGGTTATGGCACTGGAGCATATATCGGGATTCGAGACGCGGCGAGAGTCACGACGGAACTTGTTAAGTATGCGGGAAGAAAGTGGGGAAATCACATGCCACAAAATGATGATCGCGCTGAGCTGATCAAGTGACAGTTCTCTTGGGCAGCGACCTGCGCAAGCACTGTGAAATTCCACGAAATCGCATAGGGACACCCGTGGTTATAAATACCCGGGTCCTCCGGGTGACGTCGACTCACACCGAAGGGTTTCAATGCACGATGAGCCGGGTCTCGTAAGTGATTGGATCCGAGTTACGACTGGCATATTGGCATGCAAAAACACAGATGGGCCGAACAGTCGCAATGCACATGCACTCTGCATGTTGTTCACTCTTATCTGCCTCTCCAATGGCGGATTCCTGAGATTCGGGTCAACTTCCGGCTCTCCTGGAAACGTTTTCGCCCTTCGTTTGCCCTCACTCCAAGTGACCCAACACGGGCAGGCACGGTATGTATGTACTTAACGCTATCGTGCTGTGCAGGGCCTATTCGATCATCTTCGTCTTCCGTAGTAGTTCTGATTGGATCAGATTCAGAATAGAATCCTCGATCTGCTTGTGAAGACGCTGCGGACACCGAAGGACACGCGTTGATCCCGTTTTTCCATTCCGTGAAACTTCGTATGCAATTTCATAGTCTCGTGGCTGCCGATGAAGCCGACCGCCTGATTCTCAATTTGTGTCCAAGTCAGGGCGCCTGCTTGCGCCAGGCGAGACGCAGTCCGGATAAAGCCGACACGCTGACAAAGCGCGCGTCCGTGAGTCGTGACGGTGACGTCCACTGCGCTCCCGCTAACTGACACACACGCACCTTCCTTCTCGACAATTCTATCCGCGTCTTCATATTCTCTCTCTCTCATCCTTTCTCTTCGCGCTCCGTAGGATATCCATACATAGATGTCTCTGTTAGGCAACTGGCTGTGGGGCACGTCCCAGTTGGACGAAGCTATCGGTGAGTTTACTCTCTCTTGGCCATGCCCAATGATTACCGCTCCCCGCTTGCGGAACTCGACAAGTCATTCCCGTGTCTTCGCGCTTTATGCTTGATCCACTCTTGCTCTTGTTATCCGTCCTGACCACACATGCAGACAAAGCAACCTCCGAGTTACTCCCGGCTGGTTCATCCGATATCGCGCTGGAACTCGAGATTTGCGACCAGATTCGGTCGAAATCAGTGCCCGCCAAGGACGCAGTGAGGGCACTGAAGCGGAGACTGGGGCACAAGAATCCGAATGTGCAGAATCTGGCATTGGAGGTGCGCGATTTATTCAACCACCGTCCTTCATCGGTTCTGACTGCACTCCAATATCTCAGCTCACAGACGTCTGTGTTAAGAATGCTGGAGATGCCTTCCTGACAGAAATCGCTTCGCGTGAATTCATGGACAATTTGGTGTCAATACTCAAGATGCCAGCGTTGAATTCCGAAGTGAAGGCGAATATCTTGAGGGTTGTGCAGAACTGGAGCACTGCATTTGAGAGCAAGGGGAAGGGAGAGCTGAAGTATGTCGGGGCGGTATATAAGACGTTGGTTCACGAAGGTTTGTGGTCACTTGTTGCCACTACGTGATCTAACCCGAAGCAGGGTTCAAATTCCCACCTCTCGACCTAACCGAATCCAACTCTGCCATGCTGGATACGCAGACAGCGCCGGAATGGATTGACTCGGAGGTCTGTTTGCGCTGTCGTACCGCATTCACGTTCACCAATCGGAAACATCATTGTCGCAATTGTGGAGGGGTTTTCGATCAGGCTTGTTCCAGCCGAACAGCAGCTTTGCCCAGGTTCGGTATCACGCAGGAGGTCAGGGTATGCGACAGTTGCTGGCCCACTTTAAAGGGAGCAAAGTGCGTGATCCGTCAGCTTGGCCTCTCTGTCGAGACTGAGACATCATCAGCGACGTCAAAGACCAGCGAGAAACTCGGCACCGGTCAAGAGGACACCGTCATTCGCAGAGCTTGCACTCAGCGCGTAGTCGGGCGCAGGATGATGCGGATCTGCAACGAGCAATATCCCTTTCTTTGCAGGAAGTCGGGCAAGATCGTCACGGGTACACACCCTACCAGCCTGCGGGGCAAAACTACCAATACTTCTCCGAACCGCCGATTGTGGATCGCGCATCTCGACCCACAGAGGACGAAGAGGATCCCGATCTGAAAGCAGCCATCGAAGCTAGTCTGCGGGAGTCGAATGCCCCAAGGGCGAGCGCGCCTGTTGTAATTACCGAGACACCGAGGACAGAGTATCCTCATTATGCTAAAGGATTTTCGCAATCGTACCCGCCGACTCCTCAGCCACAACCTCCGCAAAACCAGCGGCCCTACGAGTTGGAACCGCTGGAAAGTGACGCGATCATGACGTTTAGCCAGACAGTCGAGCAAGTCCAAGGCCGAGATATGACGCGGTATCCGGCAGTGAGCGAGTTGTATGATCGGGCAAACAGCTTGCGCCCCAAGCTGGTGAGGAGCATGGACGATGCGGGCAAGAAAGAGCGTGCGTCTTTGTCAATGATTTCTCACTATTTTGATGCTGACAACGCCTCAGAGGTCCTCTCGGAGATGCATGATAAACTGTCGCAGGCGGTCAAACTGTACGACAAACTTCTGACGGAGCAGGTGGTCCACCAGCCGAGATGGCAAACGTATCAACCACCGGCGCAGACAAGCCCGGGATATGGCACCCAATGGCACCCAGCGCAGTCGCCTGCTCCTCAGCAGCCCCAGCAATATGCTCCCCCGCAACAGTACTACACTTCACCAAGTTGGCAAGCCCAGGCGTATTCGCCAGCACCAGCAGCGTCATCTTCCGCTCAGTATGCGTCGGTACCTTCCACCCCTGTTTCTGTGCAGTATCAGCCGCAACCACAGTCGCCCCCTCCGGCCTCATATCAGCCCCAATACCAGTCACCAGCTCCTCCTTCCGTGCAATACCAGCCTGCGCCGGTTGCCCAGTCTCCTGCTCCGCCTGTTTCTGCTCAGTACCAGCCGTCGGCCCCTCCCGGAGCTCAGTATGCGCCGCCACCTGCACAGTCACCTCCTGTCGCACAGCCGCAGTATCAGACACCTAACGACTACTCGACACGACTTCAGCCTCAGCAGCATCAACAGCCGATGCCCCAGCAGCAAACGATGCCCGTCTTTCCCATCGCACCGACATCTGCTCCACAGGCATTTCCAATGTACGGTGCTGCCAGCATGGTGCCGACGAGTCCGCCAGTCCATCAGGAGAGAGAGGTTGCTCTGATTGATCTGTAGTCTTGTATGTTGTACCTACTTATCGTATGCTATGCTCTGTATGAATGGGTCGTTGTGGGCAATCAAAACGACCGATCACATCGACGCATACACCACCAGCCTGTTGATTGAGTAAGGTTTCGAGAAAGATGATACCGGAATCCGTGGACCCACAAGCTCTTATGGCACAGCTTCTGTTATATTGAATCCTTCCGCCTCTGCAACTTCGTGCTACTTGATCATTCCTGGGGCTGAGCAGCAGAGCCCAAATTGATCCCGGCTCCGTGACCGTTCGATCTCCGTTACAATGAAAAGTATCTCCTTCAGAAGCAACGGGCTATGGTGCAACAACTCATGATCAAGCTCGCAGTCAATACTTATGTAAGACAATTGATCGGCTTTGAGCTGGGAACTTGAAGCACGCAGTCAACCACCACCAAGTGCTCGCAAGAATTAGTTGGTGATGATCTCGGTGCGTCTCATTCAGCAATCCAGTGCGCCAGAGCATCGCAGGTCTCATTTGAATCCAGGCTTTCTTTATCTTCAACCAGAAGGGCGAGGTCAGCATCCATCCCACTCGAACGAGCGACCGATGAACCGAAACCGATCCCCAGGTCCTTCTGTCACGACTCTACCGCACGGACTTCAAGTGCGTCGGATTCGTACTATTCTATTACCCCGTATATTCACACTGAGGATCAGACGTTCGATAGCGGACGTGTTCCGTATCCAAGTCGTATCGAATAGCGATGTACGCTCGCCTATCATCACTCTTGGGTCTACAAGCTTTTTCCACGTGCGGGTCAATGGGCTCTATGTCGTCGGTGTCACCAAGTTTGTTATAATGCCAGGACGTCTCTTTCGGTGCAAACTCATGTCGTTCGTTAGGAACAACGCCAACGCGGCATTGGTGTTCGAGTTCTGCTACCGATTCATCAATATCTGCAAGTCGTACTTTGGGAAGATAGACGAGGAGGCTGTGAAGAACAACTTTGTGCTAATGTATGAGCTCCTGGATGGTACGCTCCCTTCACGCCCATCCCTTATCCCACCTGGGACTTACTATCTTCACGTGCAGAGATCAACGACTTTGGATATCCGCAAAACAGCGAAATCGACACGCTCAAATCTTACATCACAACAGAAAGTGTCGTTTCTGGGTCATCAGCGAACGCTGCGGAGGAGTCCTCCAGGATCACGGCCCAGGCTACAGGCGCGACGAGCTGGCGACGGGGAGACGTCAAGTACAAGAAGAACGAGGCGTTCGTGGATGTCGTCGAGGTGGTGAATCTCAGCATGAGTGCGAAAGGCAACGTGCTCCGAGCAGACGTCGACGGGCATATCCAAATGCGGGCATACCTGTCTGGCACACCCGAGTGCAAGTTCGGCTTGAACGATAAGCTGGTCATCGACAAGTCGCAGGGTGGAGCGGGTGGCGACGCAGTGGAGCTCGACGACTGTAGTTTCCATCAATGTGTGCGTTTGACGGACTTCGATGCGACCAGAACGATCAGCTTCGTTCCGCCGGATGGAGAGTTTGAGTTGATGCGGTATGCCATCCCTTTTGGCTCGTCCCTCTTGGCTAGTTCCCTCATCTCACCCACTCAGTTATCGATCAACGACTAACGTAAAACTGCCTCTGCGAATCATCCCCACTGTCAACGAGATTGGGACGTCCCAAGTGTCTTATGCAGTTACGGTCAAAGCAAACTTCAACAACAAACTTTCCGCGACGAATGTCGTGCTGCGAATTCCCACACCTCTGAACACCACTGCGGTCGACTGCCAAGTTGCGAGCGGCAAGGCAAAGTACGTTCCAGGAGAGAACGTCATCGTGTGGAAGTGAGTGTCGCTTTGATTTTGACACGCGCTGTGGACCGACGTCGATCAGATTGCAGCGTCTCCAAGGTGGTCAAGAATGTACCCTGACAGCTTCAGCGGATCTGACCAGCACGACGACCCGACAAGTCTGGGCACGACCACCCATCGATGTTGATTTCCAGGTGTTGATGTTCACGGCGTCGGGGCTCATCGTGCGATTTCTCAAGGTCTTTGAGAAGAGCAACTACAACAGCGTGAAGTGGGTCAGGTATCTGACGAAGGCGGATGGATCATACCAAGTTCGGGTGAGTGCTATTGTGCTCTCCAGCCGTATCAGCGATAAAACAATCACAGTTCTGAGCGCAGTGGTCAAGCGTAGCGTATCTTACCTTAGTCTCAACAATGCAGAAGCTGTATCCGGCAATATGTTAATGATCGGTTGACGCGAGATTTTGTTGCCCGCGCCCAATACATCCTCATAGAACTGTCAGTAGAGGACATCCAGTTCGAGAAAATCAGAGCACGATCAAAAAGCTTCAGATACGCTTCATACAAGACGCAAGCACATTGAAGTAGACTCAAATGAACAACCAGAGTCACCGAGCATGAGGCATAAATTCGACATAAGAGTAGAAAGTACATGGAGCCAGAACGCTACTAGAAGGTGGTCGGACGCTTGGCCACGAAGGTCGAACGAGCCTTGGTGACACGGTGGGGCAACGGGAAGCGCAGCTTGGGGGTAAGCAGCTGCTTGATGTACGGCCGGCGGATGTCGGCGGTCTTCTCGATCTCGACCACACGGAGGATCTGGCGGTGGTATCAGTCCGTAGCAAACAGCCCAGGTAAGTAGCCACGTACGTGGATCGACCGGAAACGAGCACGGTGACGAGCAGCCATGTCCTGGTACATCGCCTTGACAGCATCGGCACGAGAAAGTTCACGGAACTCCTTGTACATGTTGTGGGTGCCGGACCGCGAATCATAACGGAGCCAGATTCCAAAGTTCTTGACCTTGAGCGGTTTCTTCTCGTGGATCTAGAAAGAAAGGTTAGAATCCCATTCTGCTTGCCTCTTGAGGGCTGCGCGGGATGCTACAGGTAACTTACGGTGTTGACGCCGATGATTTCACCGGACGCCTTCTTCACTTTTTTGAGTTGACTAGGCGGACGCAGGTGTGTGAGGAGGCAGAGATCATACAAAACAGAGAACACACCGGAGGAAATACCAGAACCGGGACTTGGCAACGACCTCATTCGGCGCAAAGATGCGCATGCGATAGATTTTGGGCGTGGGTTCAGCCTCAGTGGGCAAGTGACGGCCAATAACTTGATACTCCGTGAATCCCATTCTGCGAGAGGGTTGTTTCTGTCAGAGATTGTGCTATCGGGTCAGGAGCTTGTGCACCTTGCGGGTCTTGAGGTCGAGGACAAAAATGTACGGGGAAACAGGTGACAAGGGATCACAACTGCCTAGTTGTCACGAGCTTGATGGTATCATCGTGTGCGCAGACGTTCGAACACGAGTGGGAACAGAACCATTTCCTGCGGTGCCGCTTATGGGAACTGGCATCAGACACGTCTGAAGCGCACTTGCTCGACGCCACGCGGTCCGCAACGTTTCTGGGCGACCACTGTCCGACGCGGCAACTTCTGATTACATTGCTCTCTTAGCAACTTCAATAATGTCGTCCGCTGCTGCTCGTGCCGAAGCGCGTCGCAAAGCAATTCTAAGTCGAGGAACGGATCGACTGGCGAAATTGACAACCTCGTCTGGACGTCCAGAAGACGCCCCAGTTCCAGGGCAAAGCCAAACCCCGCCAAGACCTCCACCAGCAGCTTCAATTGAAGGTTTGTTATCTCCTTCGACTCTCCCACAACACTAACGTCCGGCGAAACAGACCCAGATCCCCCATTGCCCTCTCTTCCGCCATTCGCACCTCCGCCTAACATCAGCAATTTCCTCGGCGAAGAAAGTCCTGCGTTGCCTCGCTCCAGGGTCTCATCCACGACTGGACGCTCGCGTACTACGAGTGGTCCTAGTAATCCCCTAGGCATGCCAGATCCGTCCGCCTGGTCGCCCGAGCAGCAAGAGCAATTCATGGCCGCAATGATGGGTGGCTTACCCCCGCAACTGACGTCTGGTGCTTCAACTCCCGGTGCGCCCCCTTCGTACGAAGACTCGATGCCCCCTCCCAATCCATTTGCCGGAATGCCTGGCATGGAGAACAATCCGCTTGCTGCGATGCTGATGTCTGCTGCGGGTGGTGGAGGGCCCTTCAGTGGAGAGACTTCCGCTTTGCCTTCTAAGCCGAAAACGCTGCTGCAACGGGTCTTACCGCTGGTCCATATTGCGGCTGTTTGGGCATTGGTTCTCTATTTTGTTATCATCAGGGAGCCAAGCGTGTACATGAGCACCACTGGATGGGGTTTGGGCACGGGAAAAGGAGTTGCAGACCGGTGGGAGCGGCTGGTACACACAGCGAGTGGGTCGAGCGGTGTGCAAGTGATGGTACGTTGCTTCATGGTAGATGAAAAAAAAACCCTAATGATTTGGTCCAGCCATTCTTTTGGGCATTTGTGACGCTAGAACTCATCCTGCACTCTCTCCGCATATTTTCTGGCTTTGTACGTCTACCTTGCTATGGCTGCTTCGATTCCTGATCGTCTGATGAATTAACAGGACACTTTCCGTCCGCCAACGTTGCTTGCCATAGCGTTGCCGCACCTCCCATCATCAGTTTCTGCGACCATTGTGCATGGTATGAAGTATTGGCAGATGGGCTCCATGTGGCTGGATGATATCGCGGCTGCGATCGTTGCAGTCGGATTTGTGGTCTGGTTATCCACGTGGTTAGCCGTGTAGGAATGTAATTTTGAAAGCCCTTCGAAACTAGAGAGCGCCGTCTCCGCCGGCAGAGTGCCTTGCTCTATTCATGGTCATAATGATCAATAGTGACACATTGACGGCCAGCAGAGAGTTGTTGAGGAATTGTAGCATAAATGAGGAAAAGTCGAAAACGTACTGATGGATCGAACAAGTGACCACCAGAAACATAGCGGAAAAGAACGGAATCGCGGGTCAAACCGCGTCGCACGAAATTGAGACAATTATGAGGATGGAGAAGCCTTGACAAGCAAGGCAACCCAGAAAGAATTCGTATGCATGGCACAGACCTGTATGCATCTGAAAAGACAAACAGGGCATTCTTTTGATGACAAAAGGGTAAATCGATTAGTGCCAAAATTTCTGATCCTAGACTAAGACTACATTGGTGCATTAGAAGCACTCTGTATGACACAATCAGTCCAAAGTTCAAGGAATCACAAACCAACATACTGCGGTGAACGATACCAGGTCCAGACTCGTCGTACTCTTGCTTCGAGCACCACAGGTTTTGGAACGTGCTCAGCGACGACAGAATCGATCCACCGATCCACACAGAGTACTTCCGCTCCGGAGGCGCAACGATCTTCACCTTCATGCTCGCGGGCGAAAGCGACGTCAGCTCTTTCTGCATACGGTCGGCAATACCCGGGAACATCGTCGTTCCACCAGACAGCACAACGTTGCCGTACAGATCCCGACGGATGTCGAGATCGCACTTGAAGATCGAGTTGAAGCTAGGATAGAGGTCAGAAACGAGCAGGGATGCTGTCGAGACAAACAACACACGTCGTCTCGTGGATTCCGGCAGCTTCAAGACCGATAAGCGAAGGCTGGAACAGAGCCTCCGGAGCACGGAATCGCTCAGGACCAATCGTGATCACCTGTCCGTCAGGGAGCTCGTAGCTCTTTTCCAGAGCAGATGACTGCGCCGCAGTGTGCAGCTCCTGCTCAAAGTCGAGCGCAACGTAGCACAGCTTCTCCTTGATGTCCCGCACAATTTCACGCTCCGCAGTCGTCGTGAACGGGTATCCGCGCTCAGTCAAGTTCTTGATCAAAAAGTCGGTCAGATCACGCCCAGCAAGATCGAGACGCAGGATCGCGTGCGGGAGCGAGAATCCCTCGTAGATCGGCACCGTGTGCGACACACCGTCACCAGAGTCGAGCACGATACCGGTCGTCCGACCAGATGCGTACAGCGACAACACAGCCTGGATCGACACGTAGAACGCAGGCGCGTTGAATGTCTCGAACATGATCTGCGTCATCTTCTCCCTGTTCGCCTTGGGGTTCAGGGGTGCTTCGGTCAACAGCACAGGGTGCTCCTCCGGCGCGACACGCAGCTCGTTGTAGAAGGTGTGATGCCAGATCTTCTCCATGTCGTCCCAGTTGGTCACAATGCCGTGCTCGATGGGGTACTTGAGCGTCAGGATACCACGTTTGGACTGCGCCTCGTCACTGCGGAGCCCCATTGCTCAGCGACAGCGACGCATACGGCCGGGGAGAGACAGCTACGCACCCGACATACGAGTCCTTCTGTCCCATACCGACCATGACGCCCTGGTGTCTGGGACGTCCGACGATGGACCTGGGGGGCGGATGACGGTCATCAGGGCGGGTATGCGCATTTGAGAGATAGGCACGACGCACGGGAACACGGCACGAGGGGCGTCATCGCCTAGCACAAAGTCAGAGATTCAGCCAATTCTGTGCGCGGGCAGCATACCGGCGACTGCGGGGAGAATCAGAACTGCGCGATAGTGAGTGACAACAACAGGAGGGACGTACATCCAGCTTTGCACATGCCGGAGCCGTTATCGATGACCTAGACCAGCTCAGGTGGGGATCGAGGAGACGGCAGGAGGACGTACGAGAGCAGCGACTTCGTCTTCCATTGTGTTGTAGAGTGTAGGGAGTGGGTGGAGGGAGGAAACGAATTGTTGGCCGTTACGACGTCGGATTTGTTGGGCGTGACGTCCAGCACTGCCACGAGGCTGTGGCTCTGACTGTTCTCTGAATTCTGACCAATCCCTCCCAGTGTTGACCTTGAGGCTCATAGTACTTTTGGAATCTCCCAGTAACCCATCCTTCCTGACTGTATTCTCACTCCTCCCCAACGTATTAGATTTTCCTTTCTATCCCACTCTTCATGTATCAACGGTTGCGCTACACTCGATCTCCGGTCTCAGCCTTGATTCTTACCTTGTTTTCATCCATATGCCTTTGAGCACTCTCATGTGGAATGTTTCCGTCGACGCAGCTCCTTAGAAACTTGTGGGATTAGCTGAAGAAATCGTTATCATACACACTGCCCGTGTATTTGCCTGTCATACACTGAGGCATCTCATACTTACTATTGATAATCTAAAAGGGGCTGGAAAGAAGTTAAATGGCGGTTGCGGAAGAGGATATTGGGCCCTATGCTATTCTATGAGAGACGAGCCAAGGTCTTTCGGCGCGGCGTGAACACCGGTCTGTGCGCGTCGGATCGGACCGCCCGGGTGTGATTACAGCCACCGTGACTTCCCGCCGGCGCTGCCTCCGCTTCCCACCCACTTTCTTCGTGTGTCATTTTCGAAGCGGCTGTCCTTTCGCTGCGAACCAAGTGCAAGGTAGATACGCTTGCGAAGGTCGTGTCAGATATCGTCGGCACGCATGCCTCTCAATTTAAGCCTCAGTCGTGACGGATATGAGCGCCTCCCGATGTACGCGCCCGTCACGTCTCCTCGTCACCGTCGCTCACCGTCCCCTTCCCACCCTGTCCATGACCGTCCTAACTTGGCATCTCACCCTAGTGCACGAAATCATGAACCACATCCCCACACGTCGCGCTTCCTCTTGGACCGGCGCACACTTTTCCGCGTGCTCAAGGTCGTGCTCCCCTTAATGCTCTTTACTGTCCTTGTGGGGTTCTGGTTCTACGAGCCGCACGTCGAATTCGCCTTCTACTCGCGGACGTGGACGCAGCGCCAAATCCTGCCCGTGCCCAAGCTCTCTGGGTGTTTCGACGCCCAGCGCGTAAAGCAGACCACTTACGACCTCGCGGACGGGCTGCATGGTCCGCGAAGGACGAATATCCAAGCTGGGATGGCGATGCGGCTGGGGAGCGACTGCTACGATTTTGCGGGCACAGTCCAGTCAATGCCGCGGAATTTCTCGTCGTACGTTTCAGCCGACGCACGTACGCAATACCACACGTACTGGCGGAATGATCTGGCAGCGTTTGGCCCAAGACAGGAATGGATGCTCAAGTCGTTCTTCGCCACGCAACATCTTCCAGAGTCGCGATTGATTCTGTGGTCGAACGGGGATCTGGGACCGAATGATATCTTATCGCACTACTTGCGTCGGTATCCGGACTCATTTGCACTGCGCGTCGTTGACATCCCGTCACTCGCGCAGGGCACGCCCCTGCAAGGAAGTCCGTACTTGGTGCAGAAGGATAAGAAAGCCTGGGTCGACGGGGATCTGATTCGGCTACTGCTACTTTGGACCTATGGTGGGGTATGGGTCGACATGGACTCCCTCCTGACGAGAGACCTCGAGCCGTTATTAGAGCATGAGTTTGTGACCCAGTGGGATTGCTATGGTATGAGTCTAGGATGAAATGCTCGAAATGCCGCAGCTCATTTTCGCGCAGACAAAATCTATCAACCGCTCAACGGCGCGCTGATGCGATTCAAGAAGCACTCGCCCTATCTTTGCGAAGCATTCCATATCATGGCGACATCCGAAGCCCCGCGGCCAGGGAGCACCGACTGGGGCTCCCTCCTGTACCTGAAGCTATGGCGGGCGCTCGTTGCTGGAGACATACCACCATTCAAAGTGCTGCCCTACTGCTTCAGTGACGGTCGTTCCTGTCGGCTGGATACTCGCCTGCCAGATCCCTTCTCTTCGGACGACACGCGCCAGAACAAGATGGGCATCTTCGCAGGGAGCATGGACCAGAACGGCAAGCTCGACAAGGCGCTGAGTCATGTTTTTGGGGTGCATTTGCATAATCAGTGGGATAAAGCGTACCCTAAAGATGGCTGGGTCGAGCGTCTCCTGCTCCGACGATACGATGACAGACTTAGATGATCTATCCCGTCCTACATAATGACACGATTTCGTCGGCCTCGATAATCGTTCGCTCTTGTTCCCCAAAAGGCAAGCCGGGGACCGTCATCCTTGAATAGATTCGGATTCGACTCTTTGGGAAACCTTCTCCCATGAACATCTCGATTACAGATTGCGTGAAACAGGGAACGAAGCAAAGATCTTTCAAGCACGTGACAGTTTTTCCTCGGATCGAACAGCGATACATGAAACACAGCAAAAACATAGCAATTAGCAAGTGATACAGCAAGGCGAGAATTTGTACAAAGATTATCCACTGGGAAAGAAATGCACACAAGGAAGGAATAGTATTAAGCCGCAGGTGGGAATAATCTAGTCGTTGTTGAGCGTAAAGGACATCGGTGGGTCGAGACAACGAGGCCCCAGCTGATAGGTCGCAGAGAACCAATCGGAGCGAAATATAATTTTCGTTATGGCTGCCAGGTACAGGCCGTTTATGCGAGCGCTGTGGACCAGATGAGTCGCGGGTGATGGGTTCGAGGCCGAACAACATACGGTGTAGAGATAAAATAACGGGTTCAGGCTGAGACGGTGCGAACCCACGATTTGCGTTCGAACTAGACATATTTTTGTGTGCATTGGACCATACCAAATGGTGAGGAACAGACTTTGGGTCTCTTCTCTGGAGAAGCGGATTCGACACAGATCGATTTTCGCTTACCACCACGGACTGGAGCGAGCAAGGCATCAGGCTATATCGGACGTCAGAACAGAAACAGTGGAGGACCAATGACTACTGACCGGAATGACAGGACTAGCGGCGGAAGCCGTGGTGCTGCTTGATGTCCTGGAACAGGTCGACGAGTGAGAGAAGTCGTCCGGATACAACAGCGTGAGGTTGTCCACGTCATCCATGCCAAACTCAGAATCAAGCAGGAAATCGGGGATGACTGGAGAGGGCATATATTTCGGGAGGTGCGCGTCGACGTACTTGATTGGAGGAAGCGGGGCCTTGCGGGGCGCCTGTGCGAAGAGGGTTTCCATCCACTCCGAAGACACAGTCGAGACACAGGCCCCAGCACCATAACAAGGCGCTTGCCGATATAAAATGGGTTTGATGCTGGCTTCGACACTAGAGACAGCGGAACCGAGCGAAACAGCGCTGAACTCTCCGCTGACGGGGACGTCCCGGGGATCAGAACGGGGGATGACGACGTTGAGAGAGGGCCTCTGACTGTGGGGAGGACGAGAGATCTTCCGGCCACGAGCGGGCACATCCTGGGTCGACAAGGCTCGGATGTGGACATGAGTGTGGACCTGCTCGACGATGGGGAGAGGAATCCGAGACACCACGTTCTGGGGACAATTGGCGGCCTTCCTGGTATTCACAAAGAGCCTATGCTTGTGAGCGAGGGCACGTGCATGTCCACTGGGGGCGCTAGATTCCTTGGCCTCCTTCGCGATGTGGTGGTAGCGGACATTGGCCTGGCTGAGAACTGCGCTGAGACGCAAAAAGCGGGCCTGGGAGAGGGTTGTGCGGTGAGAGGACGGCATGGGAACAGCTGGTGTAGGGTCGTCGTAAAAACAAAGAGGTCGTGCAGCGAGTGGCTCCAAGTACTGCACGTGTAGGATGTGTCGAGAGAAGGCCCGAATGCAGACGACAAAGAAAGTGCAAGCCGTAAAATCTTGTACTGGCTGGAGGCAGTGACAAGGAAGAGAGAACGTTAAAAGAGGAGTAATGGGATGCCACTTCCTTGCTCGCGGGTCCTTATGCATTTAACACTTGGACCCACAGTCCCATCCGTCAGTAAAAGGAACAAGAACAAGCCCCAAATGGGGCATAGACTATTGTCGTGTTACAAGCGCTGGGACCATCGCGGTTCGATCGCCCCCCGAAAAGAACAAGAGCGAAAGACGCCCTTGTTCCCAAGATACTTTCCAGGTTTATTGTATTCTGTGATTTGCAGCGCGTGACATCAGCCATCATTGATTTTAGTGTACATGGCGAGAAGTCGTTTCGCACTTGGAGCCCAGACTTGATTCGATCCTGATCAGATTCTCCAATAGTATCATGGCTTCAGCACACAAAATAGGTATGGCAGGCGCCAGAAGCATGGGTCCCGATTGATCGAGATGTAGGCTCGCTCTTGTTTTGTCCCAACTGCGGTACTTTACTGGACTTGCCCAAAGATGGCGAAGACACCGTGACTTGCGAGCAATGTGCCCATGTCGAGCCAGCTAGTTGTGAGTGATTGATTTCCTACCTCTTTTCGGCACAAAGCCAAGCAACGCGGCTTCCTTAGCCTATGAGAACACCGAAATAACGACACAGTCTGACCCGGACGCTTTCCCCTCCGTTTTGAGACAAAAGAGGAAAACACAGACAAAACTCCACGAACAGGGAGATCAGGGCACTCTGGTCAGCGTCAGACATCCTCATCACTCAATCATCCATTGAGTGTCGAATGCAGGTGTCCGAGAAATGCCCTGCCTGTGGCGGAATGGAGGCATACTCAAAGGAGATGCAGGTACGTGAAGCTTGTCTTAATGAGAACACGTCTGAACGCAGGATATGTGGAATAGTTGCGCAGTGCAGATGAAGGCTCTACCATCTTCTACACGGTCGGTGTCCCATCCCAATCCGGTATCCTCATCCGACTAACCGCGACGCTGCCTAGTGCGTAACATGCAAGCACGGATGGCGTGTCAACAACTAGATTGCCTTTACACGTATACGCCGACGGTGCAAAACAGTGCGACGATGCCGAAACCACCAAGTAGACTGGCCAGAGACGCGACGGCTGTTTCGCGGATGGGAATCGTGTCTTTCTTGATTCTGGTAGCGCATGTAATCAGATTTGGTTGTATTACATGGAATGCAACAAAAACGCACGCTGACACGTAGAACCCGAGAATGAAGGTGAAGAGCAAGAGAAGGAACGCGAGGTACGGCAAAAGGCCAACAGGAACTATGGGCTGAAAGGCGGGAGATGAGGTGTACAAGGACTGCGTGCGCGTCGTGAGCAAAGCTGAGGCGGATATACACGGTGAACTTGCCTGCAACGACGTGTAGTCCATAACTGCGATGACGTGTGACGTACCGTTACCGGTTACTTACTCAGGACAAACGTCACTGCTCCTCCAGCTATCCTCCCTTCTCTCTAACCACCACCACCAACTCCCTCCCCAGTTCTTCTTGTAAAGGTCAGTACACACCCCTCTCTACAACTCCTCGCATTCTTTCCTCTGTACTAGATCTACAGCTAACCATGAGTCTCTCAGATGTCTGCCGCCCAAAACTTCCAGCAGCACCCCATGTACATCCAAGCCCAAGGAAAGGCGCACTACTACCACAGCCAGCTCGATAAAGAGGTTAGTAGGCACGCCCTCCTGAACTTCTCAGGCTGCACAGCTGTTTTTTTCGTGCTCGCCATGACGCCCATACTGATGACGCACGACTCCAGCTCTCCAAGTACCCTGTGCTCAACTCGCTCGAGCAGCGCACGCAGATCCCGAAGACCTACACTGCTATCGGTGCTGCTGCCCTCCTCGTTGTACTCCACCTGGTCAATCCCCTCGCCGCCTTTATCTCCAACCTCATTGGCTGGGCCCTCCCCGCGTACATGTCATTCAAGGCTCTGGAAACCCCCGGCCCGCAGGATGATGTCCAGTGGTTGACTTACTGGGTCGTGTTCGGCTTCTTCAACTTCCTTGAGAGCTTCGCTCTCAGGGCCGTCCTTTTCTACCTTCCCTGGTACTACACCTTCAAGACGCTGTTCGTACTCTGGCTCCAGCTGCCGGCCTTCCGGGTGAGTGACACTTTTTTCCCTGCAAGCCCGGCATGCTCTTGCCATCTTGCTTCCTCGTGGCGATCATCTGTCGCTTACTCTTTTTTCACAGGGTGCGCAAACGACCTACTTGACCATCTTGAAGCCCGTGCTTGCCAACCACCGCGTGTTGGCAACCACCACACCCACTACGACGGAGTAAGCGAGTTGATTGTCACGTTCGGATTTATAGGTCATAGACCAAACGGTCCTGTTTCGAACGATTCTTTCTTCGCTGCTTTCTTTTCGTTGCTTCATGATTTGGCCTCACTTCATGCCTGTTGATTCAATATCTTATCTCTCCCGTTGTTGATGATTCTTTTACGAGGTATTCCGCGTAGTCACCTGCGCAGAGTGCATGTAAACGTAACACGTAAAATGTCTTGATTGGCGCTGGATGAGAGTCGACCGGAAATTACGTCGCCAGGCCCCCGGACGCTCCCCCAGAACATCTTCCGGAATAGAGTAAATTTAGGTCAAAATTTCCTGTTTTCCCCTCCGGAAAATAGAGTAAAACCAGCCCCAAATGCCCACATGTGCTCCAGAAATAGGGTAAAAGTTGCGCAGAATTGGGTGAAGCCTGACCGATTTTGGATTATCACATCCCCAATCAACGTCCCTTTGACCCGCCTGGGGTGCCGAGAATCCCAAGCCATCACTTGGAGACTCAGACGGTAGATATGTAGATACGGCCGATTCGCGATGATAGACTGCACAGTACTTACAGAAAATTGCGTGACCGGACGACGAGAAAGAGAGCCAAGGGCTCAGGGACACTAGACCAAATAGATTACAGCCCTATGGAAGCGTAGGGAAAAAAACGAATAACCTTGAATAATCCCTCCGGGAATAGAGTAAAAGTCGCTCGAAACGCCGCAGATTTTAGAGTAAAAGTGGCTGACTCAGCGGAGGATGTTCTGGGGGAGCGTCCGGGGGCCTACGTCGCCTGCCTAGACAACACGGTGGCTGCGTCGTCAGAGAACACATCGTTGACTGACTGCCCGAAGGGGATCCGGGAACCCGATGACAAGCGAACGCGTTTACGCTGACGTCCTCGCCCAAGTTCACTCGTGAACCCAATCCATTGTCAAGTACAGAGACGATATCAGAAAGCAAAGGACCAGACACGAACACAGGAACAGAGATAAATATTGGATATCTTGCGAAGAGGGCAGGTCAAAGTAGTAACGGTACCGCTGTACTACCCCAGCATACTGTACAGCATATACTGTGAGAAGGAACAGCACGAGGCGGAACAGTAAGGTGCATTATGAGCAACAACCAGCTGCGGGCTGAGTTGCAGGCTGCGAGCCGATACGAACACCTTCCTTAGAGGGAGTGCCGGCTGCAGCGGCATCACCGCCTTGGGAGTCAATCAAGCGCGTTTTGATGTCCCTGCGCGAGGTCAGTTGTAATCCCTGTGACGAGCGGGTGTGTGAACGGACCTTGCGAGTGTGAAAAACGCCTCTTCCACACCCTCGTTCACCTTCGCAGAAGTCTCCATGAACTTGATTCCCAGCTCATTGGCAAGTTCCCGCCCTTGCTCTTCAGTGACAGCCTTCTTGTCCGTCCAGTCTGACTTGTTGCCAATGAGTATCTTATTCACACCCTCAGACGCGTGCTGCTCGATATTGGTGTGCCAAGTGCGAATGTCTGGGAGAGCGGAGCTGAGACATTGTGGAGCACACAGAGCAAGTGGTACGCACTATTGAACGAACGCTCGTCGGTGACGTCGTAGACGAGAAGAATACCCATGGCACCACGGTAATATGCCGTAGTTATTGTGCGGAACCGTTCCTGACCCGCTGTGTCCCACTGGAAGCTGGTTGAATGACCGAGCTGTCTCTAAACGGCGACACGCACAATCTGAAGCTTAATTCGACGCCCATCGAGCTCGATGGTCCGAATCTTGAAGTCGATACCGATGGTGGTAATGAAGGAGGGCGTCCATGCGTCATCACAGAATCGCAGCAACAAACAAGACTTGCCCACTCCCGAGTCCCCAATGAGCAGAAGCTGCACGACAGAATAAGTAAAGCGCGTGAAAGATGCAACCCAGACTGAAGGGCAGCCGCAGTAGAACGAACCTTGATGAGGAAGTCGTAATGGGGAGACATGGTGGCAGGAGGGATGGCTGTGAAATGCGATGAATTAGTTGAGTAACGTGCTGTGACAGCCCCAATCCTTTCCTCCCTCCACCCACTCCCTACACTCTACAACACAATGGAAGACGAAGTCGCTGCTCTCGTACGTCCTCCTGCCATCTCCTCGATCCCCACCTGAGCTGGTCTAGGTCATCGATAACGGCTCCGGCATGTGCAAAGCTGGATGTACGTCCCTCCTGTTGTTGTCACTCACTATCGCGCAGTTCTGATTCTCCCCGCAGTCGCCGGTATGCTGCCCGCGCACAGAATTGGCTGAATCTCTGACTTTGTGCTAGGCGATGACGCCCCTCGTGCCGTGTTCCCGTGCGTCGTGCCTATCTCTCAAATGCGCATACCCGCCCTGATGACCGTCATCCGCCCCCCAGGTCCATCGTCGGACGTCCCAGACACCAGGGCGTCATGGTCGGTATGGGACAGAAGGACTCGTATGTCGGGTGCGTAGCTGTCTCTCCCCGGCCGTATGCGTCGCTGTCGCTGAGCAATGGGGCTCCGCAGTGACGAGGCGCAGTCCAAACGTGGTATCCTGACGCTCAAGTACCCCATCGAGCACGGCATTGTGACCAACTGGGACGACATGGAGAAGATCTGGCATCACACCTTCTACAACGAGCTGCGTGTCGCGCCGGAGGAGCACCCTGTGCTGTTGACCGAAGCACCCCTGAACCCCAAGGCGAACAGGGAGAAGATGACGCAGATCATGTTCGAGACATTCAACGCGCCTGCGTTCTACGTGTCGATCCAGGCTGTGTTGTCGCTGTACGCATCTGGTCGGACGACCGGTATCGTGCTCGACTCTGGTGACGGTGTGTCGCACACGGTGCCGATCTACGAGGGATTCTCGCTCCCGCACGCGATCCTGCGTCTCGATCTTGCTGGGCGTGATCTGACCGACTTTTTGATCAAGAACTTGACTGAGCGCGGATACCCGTTCACGACGACTGCGGAGCGTGAAATTGTGCGGGACATCAAGGAGAAGCTGTGCTACGTTGCGCTCGACTTTGAGCAGGAGCTGCACACTGCGGCGCAGTCATCTGCTCTGGAAAAGAGCTACGAGCTCCCTGACGGACAGGTGATCACGATTGGTCCTGAGCGATTCCGTGCTCCGGAGGCTCTGTTCCAGCCTTCGCTTATCGGTCTTGAAGCTGCCGGAATCCACGAGACGACGTGTGTTGTTTGTCTCGACAGCATCCCTGCTCGTTTCTGACCTCTATCCTAGCTTCAACTCGATCTTCAAGTGCGATCTCGACATCCGTCGGGATCTGTACGGCAACGTTGTGCTGTCTGGTGGAACGACGATGTTCCCGGGTATTGCCGACCGTATGCAGAAAGAGCTGACGTCGCTTTCGCCCGCGAGCATGAAGGTGAAGATCGTTGCGCCTCCGGAGCGGAAGTACTCTGTGTGGATCGGTGGATCGATTCTGTCGTCGCTGAGCACGTTCCAAAACCTGTGGTGCTCGAAGCAAGAGTACGACGAGTCTGGACCTGGTATCGTTCACCGCAGTATGTTGGTTTGTGATTCCTTGAACTTTGGACTGATTGTGTCATACAGAGTGCTTCTAATGCACCAATGTAGCCTTAGCTTAGGTTTAGAAAACTGTGGAAGTAATGCATCTGCTTTTCGTCTTGTATCCGAGGTGCACCTGGCTAGAGGGTTTCTGAGCTCTCCCGGCTACTAGCGGATAAAGTCCTATGCAATTCTAGGAGATTGTGCAGGGACCCTCAAGCGTAGACTACGCATTTTTTTTTGGTCCGAGTAGGCGGTCGGTGTTGACAAAGTCTTTCGGTCATGCAGTCATGTACACAACTGTGCAGAACCAAGGCGAAACATATCTCGCTCGCCCTCGAACACCAGCCATCATAATCCCATCACTTGACCACATCATGCATCACTCGCGAACTCTGTCACATGGTACTGTATATTCACAGCCACACCTATCAGAGATTTCGTCAGGCAACTCAGAAACTCATCGACGACCCACTTCTCTCGCAATGGTAAGTCTTGCTTCGTTCGAGGCGCGATGTACTTCGTCTCTTGCCCATACCCTCCTGCTTGTCACAATGCTGACTTTGGCGCTCTCAGTCCACAGAACTTGCCGCAAGCTACGCTGCCCTCATCCTCGCTGATGAGGGAATCGAAATCACCGTGCGTCAACCAATCGATATTATTGCCCATCTCCGCTCACCCTGCCTCGATAGGCCGACAAAATTGTCACCCTGACCACGGCCGCCAAGATTGAACTCGAGCCGATCTGGGCAACCCTCCTCGCAAAAGCTCTTGAGGGAAAGAACGTGAAGGAGCTTCTATCTAACGTTGGATCTGGTGGAGGCGCACCCGCTGCCTCGGCACCCTCGGGTGCCGCTGGTGGTGCCGCCGCTGCTGAGGAGGCGCCGAAGGAGGAAGCCAAGGAGGAGGAGAAGGAGGAGTCTGACGATGACATGGTGCGCAGTTTCGACCCGAAACGGCTTGATCTGGCACTGACTTGGACTGCAGGGCTTCGGACTGTTCGACTGATCTCATTCCCTTCACTCTTTATGGCACATGTTTTTTTTTTGCTTTCCGCACACTTATGCACTCCCATCAAAATACATTGCCTTCGGAAACCGCAATTATCTGGCTTCAAGTGTCGTGTTTGTCTTTGTAACGTCATTTAGACGGCGACCCAAGGCGTCCCGAACGCGTGCTCTCCCTCTGTCTGCCAATGTATAAACCTGGTCAGCAACACAATGAGAGGCCACTTGATCCGCACCATTTGCGAAAACTTGCCTCCGGTCATCGAATACCATTTTCTCAGCGGACAAGAGTGGATCCGACCCCGTGCCATGTCTGAGCGCCATATCACTGATATATTGTCCGTCATGGATCTATCTCCATCCAGAGTTCGCACGTTGGAATGCAACAGGAGCTTCCAGCCTACTGAGGATCGCGGTTACTGGCCGCCGTCAAGTACTTTCTGGGAGGGTCGATAACTTTGATTGCTCTCCTGGGCTCTTCTGCGTTTGCGCCACCACGATTCAAAGACAGATCACAGGGCGCACCAGGAGACATTCTTGAATCTAGGTGCACGATCTTCTACACTCGGTCCGCCCTCCCGTCATCCGCGACGGCTTTCCTATTGTCTGGGAGACATCTCTGTATCGATCCTTCACCAGGCCCATCAGCGAATCCGGTCTGAACGTGCTGCGACTCACGAGACAGGAAGCATTATCATGCCTCGTGCTTCAACGTCGCTAGAAACCCGATTCTTTCTCGCACACTCTGCTGGTCTATTTGCCTAGCATTTTCATGTGAGGACTACACCGAATTTATGAGGCTGGATGGCCGTCTGAATTGCCTTCCCGAGGCTGATACGTTACCAGATGTCTTTCTGGTACGGATGCAATCCTAGATGCATCCGCCCGTACAACCCCGTGCCATATTCGTAACTCTCAAGGTTCTGCTGGTCCTGATCTATCCTTCTATCTGGGCCTGGACAGATGGCGGGTGGTGAGCATGGATGTGTGCGGGCTAAGGCTTGTCTGCTGCGGTCGATTGATACCGAAATCGTTATGTCCTCGACATTCCCTCAGTCGTTCGTGTTGGGCCCCTGCTGCCCACTGGATAACATCTACAACCCAACGATCGAGCGATCCACTTCCCGTCATGGTCATGGATTCAATGGCTCTTGGCCCGTGCACGAGGACCGGATTGTCATCATCGGTCGGATGGCGTTACCCTTCGACCTCAATTTCCCTAGGCCTTGTGCTTATAGTAAACGTCCTTTCTGTTGCCGGATCCACGACACAACGGCTGCTGGTGTTGCTCTGTTTCTCGAGGCTCTCCCTGGTATACTCGTCGGAGAAGCAGAAGCAGAAGTCCTGAGTCTTTCAGCTTCCCTCTCATGTCGATTGTCGCACATGCCGGGCCTCGACACTGTTCCAGAGAGCATATGGCTCAAGGTCTGTTGAGCCGTCTCTGCACTTTCCGCCTGTGTGCCTACAATCTTCTGTCAGGTCCCCCCACGTGTCGTCAATCGTTTTGCACTCCGCCGGTCGCTCACACCCAGGAATCGGAAGAACGCCAGTTTTTGGAGAAGCGGATTTAGCGAAGGAGAGGTACGGCTACCTGGCTGCGCCGGTCCCGGAAAGCCACCGTACTGTGCGTGTATCGATCCGCTCTCTTTGCGTTCAGCAGTTTTCTGGACGCCTCTTTTTGTAGGCGCCTCGTCCTCAAATCGTTTTGGCCACTTCGACGCCTTTCCGCGGATCCAATCCCGGAGGACTAGCTGTCGACATCGTGGGTTCGTGCCAAGGAAGAGGTCGCATTCCCTTCTGAGTCAACCATAATGTGTCGCGATCATCTCGCGTTACAGTCGTTGAGATAACTCACTCTCTGTTTGTGGTCTGGCCGACTCTTTTTCCGTCCGCCCGCTCATCTTTCGTTCCCCACGACTGGCCTCCCGTCCAAGCGCTGCACTCTGATCACTCATCCTTCCTTACCGGAGGCTGTAAACTAGTATCATAGACGACGGCTTTCTTCTCTCTCGCGAGCTGCCTGGGCTTATGAATCCGGTCGCGACGAAGCATCTTGTCGACAACGGTGACCTAGCTACGAACCCCTGCTTGAGACCATCTGGACATTGTAATCTGTCTGGCATTCTGGGTTCCAATCCTGAGTGCTTCGCTCTCGTACATATGCTCCCTTCTCTGCGATTTCGTCTGCAGAGTCGCCGACATTCAATGAAAGCGAGCTGTGCGCCAGTCCAATCGGCGATATCTCTTCACTTGACTCGAATAACACAGTGACCAGACGATCCAGCGTACTGACGTGCATTCCAGCTTTGTTCTGACCTTGAGTCACGACGCTGACCTGCTTCAAGGTATTCAATGAAGCAGAACGGAGCAGAGCTAGTCCCTCGAGAGAGTTCATCATCATTTCCTTCCCATCGCTCATTCAAACATTCCAAGCTTTCATGGAGCTCCAACTCGTCCGCCAGGGGAAGGAAAGGCACGATTTCAATTGTGTCTCGTCAGTCTAGTGGCTAGGAGAACGATGTGAGATGAGGGGGGGGGAAATTATTGCACATAGGATACAGCGTTAAGCGAAGCATCCGGCAGTCAGCTCACCGAACATCATATGGTTGACACTCTCCCAGCTTCCCTCCATCATGAATTCTTCATTACTGTCGATTCTGAGCACGTCCGAGTCCTTGAGCCTGGGAAAATACTCCCGCAAGGCTTGCCTCCCGCGCTCGCCAAAGAACTCGGGCACGCGCACCTGCAGAGAATGCAGCTGGGCGAACTGCTCCTGCGAAACGACGCTGATGAATGCGGTGATGTTCTCCTCGGCGGCTTCGTCGCAGTGGCACGGGAACTCGTCCCAGTAGATCCACAGGCTGAAATCGACCACCAGCGTCTCCAGTGCGCGAGTCGGCGATTCGGGGAGGGAGGTCAGAACAGCATTGATGGCGGCAAAGTCATGCGTCTGGATGAGCAGGGTGTCCAAGTTCGTACATGCGCCTAGATCGACTGCGGAAGTCAAGCACGGAATCTCGGCAGAGACATGAACGTACTATCTCCGTCGCTAGGCTGGAACAGCACCTCTTCCTCGACATCGCCATCCGAGTCCTCATGCTTGACGACGAATCCGACGTCCTTCAGATGCGGCCCATTGTCCGCGAGGAACGCGTTCAGCGAGGTGACTGGTCCCCAGCCGTTATGCCGGCAATGGAACACCGCTAGCTGGAACGTCTCTAGACTCGGCAGATCACCCGCACGGACCAGCCAGGCCATGAGCTCCTCCATCTCCGGGGCGTACAGCCGCAGCCGCAGCGCCGTCAGCTGCGCAAAGGCCCCGGGCGGCATCGTCGGGTACGGCTTGGACTGCGAGATCGCCGCCTTGGCGGGCTCGCGGGACCCAGAGAACAGCCCGAGTGAGCGCAGATGCGGGTCGTACAGCAGCCCGAACGCGAGCGCGTCCGCCGCGAACTGGTCGAGCCCGTTGTAGGAAAAGTCCTCCAGCGCGGGCAGGTGGAGCGCCATCCAGGCCAGCCTCATCGGCGGGGCGAAGCCCGGCGTGTGGTCGACGTACACCACCCGCCGCACCGGGGCCTGCGACAGCACACCCAGAATCGCCTCGACGAGCCGGGCCGTGGGCGAGTGCATCGTGTTGATGTTCAGCAGCACATCTTGGATCGCGGGCAGAATCGTGCAGAGCGGGGACCGGCAGATCTCGAGGAAGGGCTCCGCGGTGTCGCGGAGGCGGAGGCCGGGTCGATAGTGGAACCGATTCAGTGTTACGCGATAGAAGAGGTGGTGGCGAGTCGCCGGGACCCAGCTGCGACAGACGAGACTGCTATTGATGAGGGCTTGCCGATCATCGTGCAGGAAATCGAGAATTGTCTCGATCAGCTCTTGAGCAAGGTCGTGGAACTCGAAGGGCGCCATTTCCCCGAACTATACGATGATGGCATCTGATTATGTGCCAGTGGTGCAAGGAAATCGTCATGGCAAATTTTGAAGCTCCGGTCTGGCCACGGTCAAACCCACGGGCCCAACCGTCTTTCCAACTATTTCCATGGCATGCAGGAGTCGTAATCTATTTCCAGAACTGCTTCATTGAGACCAATCTCAGAGATATGACCAACGATTGTACCTTTGACACTACGGCCTGAAGTCGAGAAGCTTGTTCCCAGGAAACGTCACACACCTTTGAAGAGAGATTCAGCAGCGTGAAGAATGATTTCATTTCAGTCAATGTCCGCCTTCATGCATAATTGATATATACAGATATTGCTTTGGGTACACGGGAGTGAGTGGATGATACTTGGAATGAGTGTGTGAGTGTGCGAGAGATTGCGAGGGCGCCGACTAAAGGAATGGGGATAGCAGATTAAGGAATGGACAGCAGTGACATTGGATTGCAGAAGAATAAGAAGTGTATGGTATAGATATCTCGTCTCGTCGTTTCGTAAGATGATGAGCATGCGATCCTGCATAAATATACATCAGGTTATACGAAGAATTGGGTGCTGCAGCCAGCGTCAGTGATCACTCGGAGGCACAAAATCCACAACACGCACTGGATGCGACTCGACGCATGGACCTCCATCTCCTCCATCTTGTAGCTGTTGAGCTCCTCTTTGATGCGCTGCGCCAAAGCGGGTGTCAGCCTGCTCCAAGTCGCAGGCTCGCTCCGTCGGTCGTACACAGTCGCGCTGAACGTGTCGTACACGCTCAGATTGCTCGCGAACGCCAGATGCTTCTTGGCCGGCAGCGTCGCAGATCGCGGCACAGCAGAAGCACCCGGCGCAGGACCCAGCCCCAGAGTAGACAGCGTCGGAGCAGACGAGTTCATCGCTGGGTGCGTATACAACGATGCAGCGGGGGCCGTTTGCTGTCCAGCTTGCGCGTACGTCGTTGCCGTCGGCGTCACCTGCGGCGAGTCAAAGTCCAGCGGCGGAAGCGACGGAACACTGCTCCGTTTCGCAGAATCGTGACTCGAGTGACTCCCGTGCCGATGCAGCCCATCGATGTGATCCGGATCGGGGCTGGGGATGCGCGCCAGCGGTCCCATCTCGCTCTGTCCGGTGCTGTTGTAAGAATTCGATCGGGCTCGCAATGTGGGCTGCAACTGTCCAGTTTCATACGAAGTCTGATCGTACGTCCCTGCATCTGGAGCCCAAACATTAGTCATGATGGCAGACAAGGAGATCGAGACGAACGTTTGAGAATGCCTCGAGTGGGAATCATTGTTCGCTCCATACTGCGCCGATTGTCTACCGCCCAGGGCTCGAATTCATCGTTCTCCTCCTCTGGCAGCTCGGCTCTGATGGTGTCATCCTCCTCTCCACCAAGCAGCCCCCATTCTTCATCATCTTCGTCGTCCCACTGCTGTTGCTGTTGCTGTTGCTGTTGCTGCTGCTGCTGCTGAGGAGCCGAAGAAACCGGATGGGCATCATCGTCACTGTCATCCTCCTCAACCAGAACCGAAGTACCATCTTCAGCGACAGCCGTCGTCGCTCCGCCGCGTCGAGTGGCCGTGTTTCGTTCCCAAGTCGGAACACCCGAATCGGCAACGGTCTTGTTCGCCGCCGCCTCTTTAGCTTTTGCAGCTGCTTCCGCGTTGGTCTTGAGCGTGTGCTGTCTTGCAAGCTTCGCGGCCGGACTGAGGCCAGTGAGGCTGTCGGCTCCGGCACCAGGGATGCTCCAATCGCCCGCTTCGAGCTCAGCCGTCGCATGGGACACACTGGCTTCGCTGGCGCTCCCCTTTCCGCTCTTTTTCCTCTCCTTCTCCTTGCGCTTCTTTTCCTTCTTTCCCCCGTCCCCACCTTCGTTCCCGGCGGCGTTGCCATCGTCATCCCCCTCCTCATCCTTCTTCTTCCGGTCTTTAAACAGGCCCGTGATCCCCGCAAGACTGTTTCGTCGCGCCAACCGGCCCATGCTTCCGAGTTTGCGAATCATCACGCTCGCGCTCGAAACCGTGCTGCTCAAAGATATGTTGTCCGTGCTCGCGTTCAACCGCGCGTTACTGAACAAACTCGCCGCGCGCGACTTTTTCTTCGGCATCGGCACCTGCTGGCCACTCGCAGGAGATGCGACAGGGCTCTCTGTTGTGGATGCAGCCGATCGCGTCGCGTTCTTGATCACTGCTGGCGTTTTCGGAGTAGGATTGACGACGCTCGCCTTGATGCTCTCATCGCTGTCGTCTCCACCGCCCTCTTCCTCTTCGCCGACACCCACTTCCTCCTTGAGTGCCAGACTTGCATTGAACGACAGGGCACGACGTAAGCGGCCTTTGAGGCCACTCCCTTTGGCGATAGGCGCGGCCGCCTCCCGCGTCGCCAACAAAGACAGCGAAGACAGCGCCAGCGATGAGTCGTCTCGGGAGATCCGCCGCTCAGCTCGCACTGACGGCGCGAGGGAAGAGGTACTTGGTCTGGGAGTAGGTAGAGTAACAGCACCCTGTGATAGCGGACTCGGTCGTGCCACCTTCTGCTGAGAGCTTGAGGAACTCGAGTTTGGAATGGAAGACGAAGCTGCTGAATTGTTGCTATGGGTGGATGAACTCGATCCTGCTCGGTGATGAGGAATCCGCGGGGGCCCCGGCGGTGAGCTCGAACTTGACACAGGGGACGCCGAGTGCGTGCTCCGCCCTTGGCTGTTGTTGCTATTTGTGCGCTGCCGGCCTTGTTGCGAGTTGACCGAACTGGATGACCCAGACGCGTCTGACCGCGAATAAGGCGGCTGCGGCCTCCATTCTTGCGCGGGTTGCGCCGGTTCCGAGCTTGTCGATTGCTGGCGCGACGGGCGCCGGTACGGATGGTACCCAGCGTAAGGCTGCGGGCCATTGGCGTCATTGGAGCGAGGTGGGGGAGTGCCACTGGGGAAGGGATTGAAATGACCGTGTCCTTGAAAGGGATGGAACTGGCCCGAGAATTCAGATGGAGAACCATGCTGGGCGGCGGCCTGCGCGTGCTGAGCGTTGAACATCATCTGCTGATAAGCCCACTGCGCCAGCTGGGCATTAGCTGGATCGAAATACGGGTTCGTGGGACCGGGGAACATCTGTGGTGGGGTTCCAGGGGGGAGGGGAGAGTTTTGGTAGAATGCACCGGGGTAGAAAGGCGCGGCGTTGACGGAGGGCGTCCATGAGCCTTGGGGCTGTTGCTGGAAAGTGTATGGCTGCTGTTGTTGTGGGTGCGGTGCTTGTTGCTGGTTGCGTTGCCCTTGGTGCGGTCCAGAAGAGGTCGAGGAAGAGGATGGGGATGGGGCCTTGTCCATGGCTGGCTCTCCTAGGGAATACTGCCAGTCCGGAGGAGCAAGAATGGCCATCGACCCAAGGCCCGAGGTCTATGGATCTAAGGACGATCAGGGACGAGCATTTCGCAAAGTTGTATCACGCGTACTTTGTGTGCTCGTAATGGAGCACTAGCAGGAAGAAGAGACTGCTCGACGACGACGACGACGGCGAAGCACGAATGTGTTGCAATCACACGTTACAGTCACGTCACGTACGCAGCCGCTTCACTGGCAGCAACGACCATCCGATTTCGAATTGGGCATTGGCAAGTATCTCTAAGGTCAAGAATTCAGGCCTGCCGTCATTTTTTGAGCCTGGCACCGAGTGCACATGCATCATGTATCCGGCTCTTCGAGTTCCTTCCACGACGACTGCGCTTGCCAGCCCGACCCGATTGCACCCGGATCTGGCCAGGTACCGACGAATCTCAATTCCCACACTCTGAACAAACCGCACTCTGCATGACCACATACTCCATCGACAAGCGCCACAGATCAGTGCAGTAGCTTCTCTGGGCGTTTCGGCCAGTGCTCCCCGTCCCATCCGATGATGAATCCATCACAAGACTGCACTAAGTACTTATCATGTTCTGGGGCCAGTGACGCTGCTTATCACTGCTTCCTCGCACCCGACTGCCGGCCGAAATCTGGATAGATCCCAGACTGACAGGGCCAACAAACGAGCGCCGGCCACTCGAGAGGACACGTCAGAACCCCGTTCTGGGGTCACCGAGGATCAACCGTAGTCGTCCATGGCTTGGTCAGAGTTGACCTGCTCGACCACAAGCACGAGCGCGACAAGAATCTGAGTATCCAGTCGCCCTTTGGAGGCTGCCAGCCTGACACGAATGCAACCGATCTTGGGTTCTGCCTTCTTGATACTCCTGGATTGTTGTGGATCCCGGCTGCACATTGCATGTGAGATCGGACTGCCATCAATGCCCAATATACCGTTCCCAAGCGTACGGTTCTGTGTGCATGAATACAACTTCGGAGGTAGCACTGAGTGTCTGTCGGAGTGTCGGTGCACGTCTCACTCGAGGACACGGGTTCGTTGTGGCTGGCGATCAACATTGTAGGAGCACTATCCGTTGTAAGACGTTCTGCGTTGTAACACGGCCCAAAATGCAACCCTACTCGGCAGTCCATCCAATCTTTGCCGTGAAACGTCTACCCGAAAGCCAGTCTGACAATCGACATGTTCATCCGGACCTGATTCAAAGCTTTCTTTGGAGAAGCATGGAGAAATGCATATACTGACCTGGGCAAAATTATCGCAAGTTCTACATCTAGAACTACATGCATCGAGTCGAATCAAAATTCGTGACCGGCATGGACCGGAGTCTGGGTCTTGCACAATGATCATTCGGAATCTTTCATAGATGTTCTCCAAATGGCCTGTTTTCAACTTCCTCAAAACACCGGCGGTAAACGCAAGGGACTGGACTCGACCTTTCGAACCTTGGACTCTGAGCCAAGTCGGACCAAGCGCCGGACCGATTCGGCCTTAAGCTCCGAATTAATCACATGAACCACCCCACTTTACTCTCTCTGCTGCCATGTTTGTGCGCAGTGCGCACCTACGACCTCGTCGTCTACGGACCCCTCATCTCCGCGCACCCACGCTCTCATTCTCACGCGCCAACTCCACCTCCTCGTTGTACGACCCAGACGCCGAACCTCGCGAAGAAGAATCCGTGGATGTATGCATCGTCGGCGGCGGGCCTGCCGGCCTCAGCGCCGCCATCAGACTTAAGCAGCTCGAAGCCGAGACCGGGAACGAAGTGCGCGTAGTGGTGCTCGAGAAGGGAGCCGAAGTCGGCTCGCACATTCTTTCTGGGGCTGTCATCGAGCCATCCGCACTGGACGCTCTGCTCCCAGACTGGCGCGACGCCGCCGACCACCCCCTGAAGCAGCCCGTCACGTCCTCGACGATGCGCTTCTTCACGCAGAAGCACGCGATTCCCATACCCCACCCGCCGCAGATGAGCGGCACAGGGAACTACATCGTCAGTCTCTCCCGCGTCGCCGCCTGGCTCGGCGGCGTCGCAGAGGAGCTGGGTGCTGAGATCTACCCCGGCTTCGCTGGCGCGCGGTTCCTCCTCACGGACGGCCAGGTGCGTGGCGTCGTCACGCATGACGCCGGAGTGACGCGCGCGCGCACTAAATCGGCGAGGTTCGAGCCTGGCGTCGCCTTCCGAGCCAAAGCGACGTTGTTGGCAGAGGGTGCCCATGGTTCGCTTTCAAAGACGGCGATCTCGATGTTCAATCTGCGCGAAGGAAAACAGGCGCAGACGTACGGAATCGGGCTGAAAGAGGTCTGGCGCGTAGAGCCGGAGAACCACGTACCTGGGAAAGTCGTGCACACGATAGGTTGGCCTCTACAGAGCAACACCTACGGTGGTGGATGGGAATACCATATGGCAGACGGGCTCGTGAGTATTGGCCTTGTGGTGGGTCTAGATTACCCCAATCCGTATCTGGAACCATACCGGGAGCTTCAAGTGATTATTGGTCTCTCTTGCTTATTTTCCATCTCTGATTTCCCTGGCAGCGCATGAAACATCACCCTCATTACCGAGCGCTGCTCGGCGGCAAAAGCGAGCGACTGGCATACGGTGCTCGCACTCTGACAGAAGGCGGGCTGCAGAGCCTGCCGAAATTGGATTTCCCCGGTGGTGCTTTGATTGGGTCAGTTCTGTCACCTGGTTTCTCCTGTCCTCATCGCTCATCGTTTCACAGATGTTCTGCCGGTGTCGTGAATACTGCAAAGATCAAGGGAACCCACAATGCCATGAGGGTGCGGTCGATCTCTGTCTCGCTTCATCGACTAATATCCGACAGACCGGGATGCTTGCTGCCGAGTCGGCATTTGCAGCGTTATATCCCGAGGCTAAGTTCACTTCGACAGGAGCTCCTGGAGTGACGCTGACACCAGCTGGTATGCGCCTTTCCCTACCACATACATATCGCTCACACTCTCCAAGAACAAACCACGGATGACATTATCTCGCTGAGCTCGTACTCGACCGCATTTCCTCAGTCGCCGGTGTACAAAGATCTGTACGAAGTTCGAAACGTCAGGCCTTCGTTTGGGCTGCTTGGGCACGGCACGCGGTGGAGTCAGCTGGGCGGAATCCTGTACTCTGGCATGGATACGATATTACGCGGGAATGTGCCTTGGACGTTGAAGCATCACGTGCCAAAGGACTCGGTGCGTGGCAGCGCTCCAATGATAGCGACTAAGCTCACCTGGTGAGCAGGGCTCTCCATCAGCCTCTTCTCCTGACGCGCTGTCCACGAAACCCGCAAAAGAGTTTTCGCCCATCGCCTACCCTGCCTACGAGGCCCCGCTGAGCACCGACCTGATGAGCAGCGTCACGCTCACCGGCACCAACCACAGCGAGGGCGAGCCGGTGCACCTGCGGGTGATGCGAGGGGTCGGTCCGTCCCCCGACAGCGCAGAGACGGCCTCCCGGCGACGATCGCATGTGCACACCAACCACGGCGAATACGCGGGGCTGCTGCAACGCGCGTGTCCTGCGGGTGTCTACGAGTACGTTCCGGATGACGGGCGGCACGTTGTCCCGGGAAATGACGCGAATGAGGACGAAGGGGCCGAGGGCACAAAGCTTGTGATCAACTCGCAGAACTGCATCCATTGCAAGCTGTGTGATATCAAAGTTCCGACGCAGGACATCACGTGGACCACACCGGAGGGAGGAGGCGGACCCAAGTACAGTGAGTTTTGGAGTACTGTTCGAAGGATTCTGCGCTGAGACGTTTGAAGCATTGACTTGAGGCACGTTACATAATGGAGATCGGCACTTTTTCGTCACGCAGCGGACGCGATTGTGCTCTGTAAGTCTCGCGTTTCGGCTGAGTATAAAAGTACGCGGTAAAGCAGTACACGGTATAGTTACGATATCACACACTCCGGGGGCGCGGTCACATGACCTCAATCAAACGTAAATAGTCTATCGAACTTGCTCATTTTCTCGGCCGACGATGATACTTCCCCTAATTTGGGCCTTCCGAAATCGGACGAATCAGTGCCATTGGCAACCTATCCATGTATGAATGCCAACCTTTGAAGCACTGTGACATGCCCAGCTGATTGCACTGTTTGTGCAATACTTATAACCGGTCTATGTCTCATCCTCAGGCCGGTCATTACCTGAGGTGACTAGGACCTCATGAAGCTACCACCAACCACAAATATATCGGGATCCCGCAATGGCTTTGCTCGATTTCGAGCCACACTGGAATTACATGCCTTTCTGTGTCGCTCGTAAGCATGTCGGCGTTCTAGAGACAAACATATTTGGAGTGAGCCTGCGTGATATAACTGCGAGCGTGGTCGGCCAGACTGGGCCCGCGCTGCGCTACACTATGAATACCTTAGTTGCAGGATCCCGTGCGATCCCTGAACGGAACTTAGTATCCGAACATGCTCGATTGCTTTCAGACAGTCGCTCATCAGGGTTGTGGTGAAACCGGAGGCGGGCGAGAGAGATCGATTCCAACGTACCGTATACATCAGCACTGGTGTACCCCAAGGTTCCGGATTTTGTGAGTCATCGAACGGATTCTAGTTTAAGAACCAGCGTTATGTCGCGCTCTCCTCGTTCGGTCAAGATGCACTCGACTTCCCACAAGCGGCTTGTCCTCCCAGTACCGTTTCTACATCACGAGAAGGTAGACACGGTGATCGGTGTGCCGATCCTCTGTAGCTTGGCCATCGTTCTGTTGCTGGCAGCGCTCGTGTATTGCTTGAGCTTGTACCTGAGAATAAAGGAGTGCAGATCGGTCATGGCGCAGGAGCGGTCCACAAAGAGTCACATATACCTCTGAGCAGGACCCGGTCAGTGGCTAGATCCGAATGCGATGGGAGGCTATATCTTTTAGGCTGCCCAGACGAGGTAAGTACCTGAAACAATCTCCGATCGGTCATGGAATCCGCCGGTGGATCAAAGTCGCTGACACATCCGGATATAAAGCTTGATCGGCGTAGTAGACACCGCCCTGGCGCGGTGGTGTCGAGAGGCTCTATCGCGACGGGACTTGCTGACTCGGATGACAGTAGTTGGTGCTCAATTTGCTCGGGTACTCAGATAACCTCTTGTCCTTCAGCATCCTGTCTCGTGGTGTTCTAGAGCGTCGACAGTGTAAGGATAGATTGTGCACCGGTAGAGTTGGACACAGGAAGACGTTTTCGAATATCAAAAGAGACAAGGCGCGCAGTGCTCAGAATAACAGCAGGCGGACCCAGATGAGCCAACTCGAAGTCTCGTTCGACTCAACCTCGTGTTATATCGTCACCGTGCACCACGCTTTGTGCAGGTAGTCTAGTCGCGCCGATAGACTCGCTGGGAGTAAGTCTTGCGGGACTAGAGATGGAAGCCAACCTTCAACGCGCTTGCACGCTAGCAAAGTGTCCGCTACAATGTCCATAACGGGGAGCATACCGCCGAAAATAAGGCATGTAATGACTGGGAGGCATCTTCTGACACACGCTCCCTGCATTCGAAGAGGCTCGAACTCGTAGGAACGTTCTGCACAACATAGATCCGTGCGTGTCTGATAGTTTTTGCTGCCAGTCTGTCGTTGTTCTGGTCGAGGACTGCTGTCGTCTGGGAGAATTTGAATTTCCTGGCGGTGCACATATTTTCTTGGCCGATGCAATTCCCATCTTGCACCTGCGTAGCGGCGAACGTACTAGCACCAGTAATAGCCAACACTTCATGGGAAGAGAGACACATCGAAAAAGAAGAGATCCAGAGATGGCGGATGTCGGTATCCGGAACATGCAGAAGTAACTGACGCGCCTCGCTTGGATACATGCGCGCACCAAGAGCAAGATGCACACAACAGCAGCAAGCAACAACGCTGATCGATTGGATTAGCACCATCAATCCCGGATTACTCCTGCCACCATCCTCTCTGGACTCCATGTCATCCAACCTCGACGTAAGCACAGGTCGATGTGAGCCGAAAGCTCTATCTTCAACTCATGAAATGTAGCGCGCCATCGAAATAGTGCAACGAGCCATTGACGAAGACGTCAAGCAGAACTATGCCGAAGCCTATAAGCAGTACCAGAACTCTCTCGACTACTTCATGCTAGCAATGAAGTGTACGTGCGCTTCTGTGCTTGGAAATCCGGAGTCTGCCACTGAACTGTGAAAGAAGACGAGAAGAATGAGAAATCGCGTGCACTCATCCGCGAAAAGATCAACGAGTACCTAAAGCGGGCCGAGACGCTCAAAGAGCACATCGTCAATGGGGAGAAAAACAAGAAGAGTGCGCTCACCAATGGTGGAGGCTCAGGGAACGGGGGCAAGAAGTACGCCTGCTGCGCTTTATCTCTGCGCACATCAAGTGACGTAGTGTCCCCTCAGAGACGACGGTACTGATCCCGAGATGGACAAACTACGCGGTGCACTATCTCAGGCCATCGTATCGGAGAAGCCGAACGTGAAATGGGATGATGTCGCGGGCTTGGAGGGCGCCAAGGCCTCCCTGAAAGAGGCCGTCATCCTGCCTATCAAGTTTCCACATCTCTTCACCGGGAAGAGAACGCCATGGAGGGGCATCCTGCTATATGGGCCGCCTGGGACGGGAAAGAGCTACTTGGCCAAGGCCGTCGCCACCGAAGCCAATAGCACGTTCTTCAGTGTCAGTTCCTCCGACCTGGTCAGCAAGTGGCAAGGAGACTCCGAGCGGTACGTGACTTGCTGCTCGGATCACTGGCGGGCTGCTAATCGGTTTTAGACTTGTCAAACAGCTATTTGAGCTCGCCCGCGAGAACAAGCCCTCTATCATCTTCATAGATGAGATCGACTCGTTGGCGGGATCCCGAAGCGAGGGGGAATCTGAAGGGTCAAGGCGTATCAAGACCGAGTTCCTTGTTCAAATGAACGGTGTCGGTCATGACGACACAGGTGTGCTCGTCCTCGGCGCGACCAACATACCCTGGCAGCTTGACAATGCCATCAAGCGACGATTCGAGAAGAGAATATACATTCCGCTTCCTGGACCCGAAGCACGGCGGCACATGTTTGAGCTGCACGTCGGCGACACACCGTGCGAGATGACGCAGAAAGATTACCGGGTATTAGCAGACAAGACCGAAGGCTATTCTGGGTCTGATATCTCCATCGTCGTGCGAGATGCTTTGATGCAGCCGGTGCGGAAGGTGCTTTCCGCGACACATTTCAAGCGGGCCGAGGGTGGAAAGAAGTGGACGCCGTGTTCTCCGGGCGATGGCGACGCTGTAGAGAAGAGCTGGACGGAGGTCGAGTCGGACGAGTTGCTCGAGCCGCCTTTGCGGGTCGGCGATTTCTTGAAGAGCTTGTCCACGACCAGGCCGACTGTCACCGAGTCAGATATCAAAAGACACGATGATTGGACTAAGGAGAGCGGTGAGTGTATTCTCGCCAGACGAGATCGGCGACTGATCATTGGGCAGGTAATGACGGGGCATAGGAAGGCTATCATACTTATTTGTGCATCTATTTCTGTATCATGGTTATACCAGCGGTCATACTCAAGCCGTCGATGTCCTGCTAGTCCTAGAGTTGTACCCGCATGCATGCTATTGTCGACGGACTATGGAAACCTCCGATATCATTCAGTCCTGGAGGAACGACTTGAGCCAGGTGGCCTCTTTCTCCATCTCTTCCATCGACCTCGGCTTCCGATCCTCATCCGCGTCGACCCTTAGAGGCTCTGAGGCCATCATTTCTGCTTCGGCCTTCTCGAGCGCGGGGTAGATCTTGTCGTTGTTGGCGCCAGCAAACCGGTCCCCCGTGTATTTGCGAGGGAGTAGGTGGAAATGGACGTGTGGGACGGATTGGCCGGCGGCTTTGCCGTCCTGGATATGGGTTGAGTGTCGGACCACAACGTAGGTGCTCAGAGATGAGACGGAATCCTAACCTGACAAGCGATCGTCAGGGCGTCCGCTCCGTAAGCGCGTTCGAGCACCGTTCCAACACGTTTGACAGCGAGCATGAGCGATGTAAGTTCTGGCTCTAGAGAAGACATTAACCTAGTGCGGGTAATCCGCAGAGACTTGTCTTCTCTCACCCTCTAGGTCACTTAGTCGCGGGACTGGACGCGTGGGGATGACAAGCACATCTGTGATCGCAGTTTAGCGCAAGACTTGGAGGTCAGCTCAAGGAGAGACTGACGTCCAGGTACGATGGCTGACGCGATGGGTCAGAACGAGGCTGGATCCCACTTGAAGACTTTACGCTTCAGGTTGACGATGGCGTAGGAGAGGGATGTGCGGTAGAAGGCTTGTCGAGTGACCTCGATTGTAGAGAAGAGGAGCGAGCCCATCGCTGCTTGGAAGTTCTAGGCAACTTGCAAAAGTGGAAGTTACTTCGCGCGGCAAAACTGCGCATGTGACCGATGATGATTTACTGGTCCTGTTGCCACACACTGGCATCATAGACTTTTCGCGGGAACTGTGTCATCGGCACGCAGAAGCTGCTCACTGGTGCACTGGTCTCGACAACAGGCTGACTCCTACGCGGTTCGAACGAGTGATCGGGAGGCCATGCACGCGCAGGACTTTGTTATCTAGACCTGCCTTGCGCTGTTTCTTCCACTCGCGAATATTGCACAATACTCAGACTCGTCCGCAAGAGAGCTAAAGAGATGCTTTGCACATCCATGTCCTCCTCAAGACTCTGATGTCACCCATCTATGGTTACTCGGGACGCCCAATGCCCCAGGAACTACACTTCTAGCGCAGTTGGTGCCGTAAAAACCAGTCAGTTAAGTATGTCCCTTGGCTTCGCGATTCGCTAACATTCTAATCTTGTCCTCTACGTACTGCAGCCGCGGGCATGACTGTCCGACGCATCAGATGCATGCCAGGCGCTCCACCGCGGAGTGCGTATAAATGCAACCCGCGAAGAATGGTGGGAGCGCAAGTCCAACAACACAATGCTCAGGAAGTTATCGATGTACAGCAGACTGCTCGTTGTGACCATTGCAGCTGCGCGGATCCATGCTCAGACAGATTTTGATTGGCAATCGGTTAGTTCTTCCTTTCGAGTGGGATGACGAGGCGGCTTCATATCCTTCTCAGCTGCCCGCTACGGCGGCCCTGAGCTGGGTACCCTGCTACTCGACACTTCAGTGCGCACAATTAGAGGTTCCTCTTGACTACACGTCGGATGCCGGCAATGCATCCATCGCGATCGTGCGCCTGCCCTCCACTTCACCTGCAGACCAGTACAAAGGCCCGATCCTGTTTAATCCTGGCGGACCGGGAGGAAGTGGGGTATCTGCCATTGTTGGTGTGGGCCAGCAATTCGCCGACTTTCTGGGGCCGGAGTTCGATATTGTCGGATTCGATCCACGAGGTAAGGCTGCACGTCTCCAACAAACCTGCCGAGTTTTACCGGACGAACCCAGGTGTGGCGAACTCGCGACCTGCTGTCTCCTTTTTTGAGACGGCCGCCGAACGCGCGTTCTGGACGCCGCCAGACTTGAACCTGCGCTACCCGTCGTACAACGCAAGCCCGGCAGTCATACCGAACCAGTGGGCGCAGTACCAGCTCATCGGACAGCAAGCGGTCAAGACGGACACCGGAGACTGGCTGAAGCACATTTCAACGGATAATGTCGCCAGGGATATGTTGGAGATAGTCAAGGCATTTGGGCAAGACAAGCTCATGTATTGGGGGGTCTCGTGAGTCCGCTTTCGGTCGAAGTGCGTCGATTTCATGGTTCTCAGGTATGGGACTGTGCTGGGACAGACGTTTGCGACGCTGTTTCCGGTGAGTGTTGTGCGATATGTTTGAATGCGCACCAACGTCGACTAGGATAACGTCGGACGGATGGTTATTGATGGCGTGCTGGATGGGGAGGCATGGTATTCTGGTGCGTCGGATTCTATACCATAACCCATCTCGCTCATCCTCTGCACCAGCCAACCTCACAGAAGCTATGACCGATACGGACAAGACCCTGCAGGCGTTCTATGATGGATGCGTTGCTGCCGGACCGGCCGCGTGCGACTTTTACGCGCCCACCGCGGCTGAGATCGCGGCCAATCTCACCTCGCTGGTGGAATCAATCGCTGCGCAGCCAATTCCGGTGCTCAACAATGTCTCGCACGGAATCATCGACTTTAGCTGGATTCGCAACCTGATCTTCGCCGCCACGTATAGCCCTTACGACTCGTATTCGACCTTCGCGACCCAACTCGCGCAACTTGCTGCTGGGCAGCCCGATGCGACATATGCTGCGCACCAGTCGGCCCAGTTCGAGTGCGGGGACGACAACACGGCTGCGGGAAACATCTTCGAATCGGAAATTGCGACGACGTGCAACGATGCGGTGGCTGTCACGGATCGCATTCCTGAGCTTCGGGCGTTCTATGAGAATGAAGCAAAGCTGTCGAGTTTTGCGGACATATGGGCCGAGTGGAGGGTTTGGTGCTCGTGCGTTTTTGTGAAGGATTCTTGTTCTCTCGTGTCTGATCACCTCTGACGGTACAGCGGATGGCGGATCCATCGTCCTGGTCGTTTTTCAGGACCCGTTGGTGCCAACACCAGTTATCCTCTGCTTGTGATTGGCAATACGGCGGATCCGATCACACCTCTGCAGTGGTGCGCTCATTTGCCTCCCAGACTCCCTTTGAATGTCTCGGCTCACCGTCCGCCAGGGCCAGGAAAGCCAGCACCCTCTTTCCTGGGTCCGTCCTTCTCACTCAGAACTCGCCGGGACATACATCCATCGTCGCGGCATCGGCCTGTACACACGGAGCGATGCAGGCATACTTTGTTAACGGGACGTTGCCAGCATCCGGGACCGTCTGTCAGGTCGATATCCCCCTCTTTCCACCCAGAACATCGGCACGCAGCGTACAAGGCAAAGTTGTCGATCAGGTCACGAAGATTGCTGATGTTGTGTTACCCATGATCCGTCGTACTCGCTGAACGATTTCGAGCGATTGACTTGGGAACCTTCTATAGTTGCAAGAATTGATGCCTGTTGTGTTGAGGCCATTGTTTTACCCGCCCCCATTAACGGAAAAGTGTGGGTGGCGCTGGTCTCTGGAGAACATGAGACCGTCCTTGGAGTTGCCGGGGACGTTTCTATCCTTCTTACACTCTATGATCCACAAATATCTATCAATCAACCGGCACCTGTGGACACATCGACATTTGTTCAGACCCCCTCCTATCTATGATCAAACGAAATCCCAGGTAACGCCAGTCAAGCGGCCAACGGAGGGATCAGCAAGCTGCGCAAAGGCCGCGGGACTAAAGTCCAAGTCTGCAGCGCCAGCGCAACCCGCGCATCGGTCAGTGATTGCGACCGTCACGCTCTTGCCCTCGACTGTGATGGTTGAGCGGGAGAGAATCAAACGAGTCAACAGGGCAACAGGAGGAGACTCACAGTTGGCAACGATCTGTCTGCCGCAGATCGGGTTAGTGTTCGGGTTGGCTGTGGCACCGCTGAGCGGCGATTGGGATGGAGATTTAGTCCCGGGTTTTCCATCAGTGAGAGAGAACACAAACGGGAAGGAGTCGAACGTTCCTGCTCCTACAGCAGCGATGAAATCAGCATCAGTGTTGGAGATCCCGCATGCGCCGAGGCCGGTCTCGAAGAACGTGCCTGCGGTTCGTGGTCCCAATTCGTTAGTCACTGGGAGCTCAACGATCCTGGAGAAGCCTCACCGTCTCCGGAGAAGCCCTGTCTTGCCTTCAGAGCCACGGGAACCGCCGAGGCGAGAAGAAGCGGTGCGGCGAGTAGTGCGAGCGTGCGTTGGGTGAAGGCAAACATGTTTGATAATGAAAAGTGGAATGTACGCGCAGCGCACTGAGTAGGAGTGATGAAGAGAGAAACAAAAGGGAAGCAAGGAGAAGTTGAAGACGACCACAGGGATGGAGATTGGACTGGTCGGCAGTGGGTCGCCATTTATACCATCCGACGGATGCACTGTTCCATATCTCACGGAGAGCTTATTCTGAGTGTCAGTCAACTCGGTTGTCGTATGAGCATCTGTTGCCTGTTGAGCGTTACCAAGACCGGTCTGGAATCCATCCCGAGCTACATCTCCAGGACGCTCGTTGTCGTCGAGTAGCATAGCCCATCGATCCACATACAAATCTCGGCCAGATGAATGTTCAAGCTTCAGAAAACGCAATTCCCGCGAAAACATGTCCAACAACTGATTATTGAAAACGAAAGAACGTGTGTGATAATTATAAAGCCCCCAAAGAAAAGAAAGACCATCAAGATTGCCAGCTATGCATTCACTGACCCCGCTTGCGCTTGTTCGACTTGCCGCTGTTCGTGCCACATGCAGAGCTGCTTCCGCTGCTGGACCCATCGCCCGCGCCACTCTTGGGCGGCTTGCCCTGCTTCTTGGCGTCCGTGTCGCTCGAGCTCGTGAGGCTGTTCGGATCAGACGCTGACGGCTTGGTGGGATTCGCGAGCTTCTCCATGCGCGTCAGCATCGCCTGCGAGCGAGCCGTGTTCGCCTGTGCCGCAGCCTGGAACGTCGATTTCTTGGTCCCGTCCGCGTTCGGCGAGTCTGTGGCGGCCCCTTGTTCAGTTGTGTGCACAGTAACAGAGACACCACATACAGAGCTTGGCCCAGGCTGTCTTCTGGGAGGCGGAACCGCTGCTCTGCACCTGAGCGTGCCATGCATGCAGCTGCGTGTCGATGTTGTCTCCGATCTTGGCCCGGTCATCTTTGAACCGCTGGATGTGGTCATCTGCACGCGCTCGTGAGCAAAGAAACGGGCTACCCGGCGGCGTAAACACGCACTGGCAACGCTGTACATCAAATTCCGCCCCTCGGTGTTGTATTTCGTCTGTGCGGCAGTTGAGCAACGAGCCGCCGACGAATAAGATCCCCACGCACGTAAGCATCCTGGAATGCAGTCTCTGTCCCATACGACATCAGCAGGTTGCTCTTGATCGAATTTGGATTGAATTTGGCGCCTGGTGCGGTATCGCCCCAGAGACCACAGAAGTCTATGAACGGGGTGAGAAACAACAGACGAGCATGAGGAACAGCGCGCACTCGACTTGTCGTTGATAATGTTCTTGATCGCGCCGGAGCTGCTGCCGAACACAGACGTGAGCGCACAGAGATCAGCGCGCTCGGCAGCAGAAAGCGACGAAGTCATGGCGGTTTGGAACTCGGAGGCTAGCGGGCGACGTGTCAGTGGTCAAGGTCGACAAGTTCATGTCTCACTCACCCTCGAACAAATGGTCGCACTGGCAGAGTCCCTTTCTCGGTGCCGAAGCTTGGCAGGTCACGTAGTTGACCGTCTTGGTCGATGTTGGAATCGACCAGCTGTCGGGAAACTCCATGTTCGCGTTGCCAGCAACACACAACGCCCGGTATGCGGTGGAGCTGATCTTGAGTTGGCCGGATTTCTATTGCACGTTTAGAATGGGCAGCCGTCAAAACGCGGCAACATACCTTGACGTTGAATAGACAAGGTGGCGAGGCTGCACGACTTTCAAGCTCTTCCCAATGTCTCGGGTCGAGAATGGGCTCGAAAACGCTGGAGGTCAGATTCTGTACCGGAGCAGTTTCATTGAAAACGCGTTCCTGCAGTTCACGGATCGACGGCTTGTTGTAACCTCTCCGGCGGGCGGCAGGGGCTCCCAGAGTGGCGAGATTGCTGCCAAGGTCCACAGTATCCATAATCAAGCCCTCCATGTTCGACTCGGCGCACTGCAGCAACTTGCTCTCGACCTTCGAAACCGATTGTCCGAAGCGGAAGCGACCGAAACGGGACGCGTCCGTGATGGCGTTCTCGACACCGCTCATAGCCCGTGCAACGCTGGCTTCGTCCCCGAGTCTGCCGACCCAGCTGAGTGCCCGGATGTCGGTGCCAAGATTCTTGGTGAGGGAGGCGAGGTCGATAATGTCCGTGACGGCCGTGAGGAACTCGACGCCGCCGCCGACAAAGTCGAGGATCTCCCCGACACCAGGAATGAAAGCCAGGACGACCATGAGAATCGATTCGACTATCGAAAGGACAGAACGACGCGATTCCGCCTCAAACTGAGCTACGTGATAGTCAGTGGACTCTTCGTGACGGTGGGTCGACTGCGCAACATACCTTGCTCCTGGATGTCCTGCCGCGTCTGGTTGATGTACGAGAGAGTGCTGGTGATGGACTGGTTCCCAACGGAGATGGCTGTCAGCGTCGACTGCAGCAGGGACATCAGGCTGATGCTTTCCGTCGTCGGGTCAAGCGCAAGATTCGAGTAGCCGGATACAGAGCTCGCTGGGAGGGCGCGTCAGGTTCCATGAAAGATCAGGATGCATGCGGACGTACCGGTGCTAGCGATGTAAGCATTGATGATGTCTTTCGGGTTGTGGAAGAACGTGTCTGGGTCGATGAGATACAGTCCATTCCTGCGGAACAGATGAGTCCTCGCTGGATGAGAAGCAGGAACCGTGCAACCCACCAGGTAGTATGACAGTTGGCATCCACATTCAACGGATCGTATGAAGCGCGCTTCGAGAGATCTACCAGTTCCCGGGACGTTACGTTCAGAGCGGTCGAGTTTGTGGTGGGGAGCACCGAGGCACTCGGATGCGCGCTACTGCTGACTGTCCGGACCGCTGAGCTACTTACGGCCGCGCTGCTGACCAAGCTCGACATCGATTTGTTCTGATGAAGGGCAGTGACGTTGGCGCCCTCGACGCCTTTGGCGAGTCCACCGACGACAGAACATCCCTTGCACGGGGGCGGAATACCGTGTGTACAAGAATCACCTATCGTCGTTGAGACAGAGAAACCAAAGATGAACCAAAACATCAGACTCACTCAGACGGCTCACATCGAAGGAACCGCCGGCAACAAGCGTGTCCAGATTGAGGCCCAGCGAGCTATTGAGGTACGATTTGAATCCGGGTTTGTCATTCAAGGTCCACTGGATTTGCGGGAACCCGGTCAGATGAGGCGAGGGGTTGATCGGCGTCTCGTTCAGGTTGATGTAACCGGGACAGGAGCCTTGTGGACCAGTAAATCTGCGAGGGGGACGAATCAATAGGGTTTGGGTACCAACAAGCAGGTCACATACGGCGAGCAGGACCAATAGCTGTTTCCAGCCCCAGTCTGGCTGGCAATCTGATCTAGGTCCGTGAACAATCCATGACAAGGGCGCACACACTTACTTCAAAGTTGATAGCTTTGCCCGTCCAGCGTTTGTAGATAGTGAAGTTGTCGGCCGTCAGCTCGGGAGCCGCCAAAAAGGTCGACAACTGGTTGCTGAGTTGTGACTGGATAGAGAGCGCGCCGAGCAGGAGAACCCGATAACTGTCTTGCGCAGTCAGGAAAGGGTACTGAGACTGGACGTTTGAGGCGAATGTATCCTGTCGGACCGTGAGCACCGGAGAGATATGCACAAGTGAAAACGACACACATATGCTCCTGAGCTCAAATATCCGTTCGCATCAATTGAGTTGCCGATACCAACAGCTGCAATGCCAATTCTGAGTATTCGAACATGCGTGAGAGATCATGCACCAACACTTGACGACAGCATCCGCCGTGGGGAGATACCCGCCCAGGGAGTAGATTCCGTTCGTGAGGTCCGAGGCTATGTTGTCCTGGTCGACGCTGAATGCTTTACGAACCATGAGCCTCACTCCATCCTGCTGATTGAACACACACCGGCGACTCCTCCCATGCACAAGCTGTTTGCCGACGCAGCGCGCTGCGCCACCGTCCATGTCGAATCGGCAAAGAAGACCGATCCGTCGCTCATGATAAGCGATTGTAGGTAATTGGACGGAGCCACATCGTACTGCTGGAACCTGTGAAGCGGTCAACTCTTTGCGGGGTGCAACTCAAACCAGGCAACATACGCATTCTCGTCGAAGATGTAGCCGTTGGCGACGGAGTCGAAGCCGTAGTACGGGAAAGTGCCTTGTCCTAGATCGGTCTTCGAGAGGCAGGAGCTCTGGAGCGGGGGGTTGGATGCCGTGATGGCGCTGAGATGGACAAGACACAATGAGACGAAGGATCAAGGCGTAATCAGACGTGTCACACACCGCGAGAAGAAGGGGATACCGAAGAGGAACAAGCTCGGCGGGATCTTCGAGTTGGCGGAGATGGCCTTTTGCATGTTGCTCGGGATCGTATTCAGGTTGTTCGCATCACCGATTTGACCAGCCTTGGCCCACTGGTAGGTGGTGATGAGCGTAATGAAGTCGACTGCAGGAAGAGAATCAGCGTTATAGACCTAGTGCGGCGACTGATCAGACACAGACCATACGAGGCAATGGAACCCATGGCAGTTCCCAGTCCAGTGAGATCGAAAAAGTCGTTGGGCAGATGGACCGAGACAATCAAGCTGCGGCCGACAGCGGCCTTGGTGTTGGCCACGATGCTCGCAAACTGGGCGGCGGTGACACAGCTGGTGCCCTTGCACATCGGCCATTCAATATCGATTCCGTCAGCGGCGACGCTGTTCGCGAGAGCAGCTGCGCTGGACGCGAAGAATGACTGAGTTCCCGGTCCTTGAGCCATCGAGATGAAGCCGGAAGCGTCGGCACCGAAACCCCATCCACCGACTGGACTCGCCGTGAGTGACCTAACGAAGATCAGGGATGGAACGAGACGCACTTCCGATCATGATCTTGATGTTGGGCTCTTGGTTTTTCATATTCTGGGCGGTCGCAAAGCCCGTCTTCTGATCGGCAGTGATACTCACGGAGCCGTCGGCGGCGACAGGGAAAAAGCCGTAGATAATGTGCTGCTCCATTCGTTAGGGTGACGTCCGAAATCTATAATCTAACAGCACTTGCCGTGTAAGTTGACGAATCCGTGGCATCCGGCGCCCAAGGCATACACGACCGTCCAGCAGCACTGGCCGTCCGATGAGCACGCAGTCGATGTTACAACGAGGGCGGAGCAGACGTACGTTCCGATATAGTACCCGACGACCTTCGGCGGGGACGTGCAGTCCTTCGCCGGGATTGAGCCTTGGTACGGCGGCGGGACCACATTCGAGCCAGCGCGCCAGTACGTCGCTGTCGACGCGTATCCGTTGATGTTATCAGAGCCCAAGATGACCGGAATGTCGGGCGTGTGCGTCAACATGTTCACGGTCCCGGTGGTCGTGAGTTGGTAGATGTGGATCGAAGCAGAGGCCTGGTCGATCAGCGCCATGTCCTTTTGGCAGTTGCGGTTCGGGACACAGGCTTGGTCATACGTCTGCGTTGGCCCAGTCAGCAGCGGAATCGAGAAATAAATGGAAAGAAGACGGACCTGGAAGAACGAGTACAAGCCAGCGCCGTAGATGAAGACGTTGTATGAACTTGTGACGACGAGACCGAGAGCATCAGCGCGAGTACCGGGTGGGTCTCCGTACTGCAGGGTCGTCGCAAACGGCGCAGGAGGGTTCGGCGTGGGCTGGTAGTACGGCGACTCGGTCTGAATGAGACCCGCGAAGACGTTCTCCGTGTTGTAAAACGCGTATTCGTAGATGACCTGAGAGCGGGAATGAGCCGAAGTTGGGAAGAAGGTTTCACATTGGAACGAACGTGATGCTCAGACGCAGTGCCCCACAGCCAGACGGGCCCTGCGGCGGACTCGACCAGAATCCCACGACCGCTGAAAGCGTTAATCCGGGTCTGGTTCGGGTCGTCGAGATCGTGGTCTAACGGCCATGAGTACAGGTTGGCAAATCACATGAACTCTGCGCACCGGCATTCCAGACCCACAAGTTCTCGAAGTAGCCGGAACCGGTGGGTGTGACATGCAAGCCCAAGAACGCAGTGGCGCACGAGACGAGGTTGTACTGCGACGTCGGGCACTGCGAAACTTGGACGTTGGTGCCCTGCAGCAAGAAAAAGTGTCAGCCGTGCATCACGCAGATCGTAGCGAAGCATCGCTGACCGTAGTTCCTCCCAAACGGATGTGCACATCCCACAGCCCAGCCGACCCTTGAGAGCCCTGTGCAATGTTCCACTCAATACCAACCGCACCAGCCGAGCCGCCCTGAGTCGTGATAACAATGTCGCTGATCTCGACGGTGCCTTGGTCGCCGGGGTTGCCGACACGGAGAACCGGGGTGGGCGACGCCTGGGAAGCGAAGGCGGATCCGCCGGCCATGATGACGGAGAACATCTCGCCGACGATGAGTGTCCCCGGTGGGATGTTGATGGTCGACTTGACCAGGTAGGTTCCGGCGTCGAAGACTTGTGGCGCATAAGAAATCGAGCTGCGCGAAGAGAACAGGTGGCTTACAGAGGACTTTCGAGCATCCGAACTGGCGAAAGATTGATCAGTCTCTGATAACGCACAATGAAAGAGCGAGACTCGCTTTCGCGATGAAGGCGTTGATCTTGGGTGCATCGTCGGTCTTGCCATCTCCCGCCGCGCCACCATCGGCGATCACAGAGACGAACTCTGCAGTGATTCACGTGAGTGCGAGGCGAGGGAACGTAAGAAACACCTACGGCTGGCAAGGTACGTGTTATACTGCGGACGGGAGCGCGTGAACCAGAAGTTGCTTGACGTCGAGAGCAACGTGCTCGGCCGGGTGCTCTGGGCGAGCGAGTTAGTGCCCTGGTTGTACAGGTGCGCCGCGCCTATCCGTCCGTCTCAGTAGAGGAAGATGGAGTGAATCATGGACGCACTTTGCCCGAGCCCAAAGTACATGTTCCCTTGGAACCACTGGTCGATGATGTAGATCCCCGACTGGCCAGCAACGAGGACTCCGCTCTGGTCCTGGACGGTAGCCTTGGAGATGGCGGAGAACGCGACATTGTCGAGGACGACGGAGCCTGCAAGCGACTTTGGTTGGCTGGATGAGAGCTGGGTAGGAGAGGATATGTTGAGCAGGGCGCGTCGCGGCAAAAGGGGTATGCAGCACGTACTCGGACAGCGATACCGGTCGCAGCGACGGACGAGTCGACGATTAGGACACCACCAGCGCTCTGCCGATGATCTTAAGCAAACTACTACCACGTACGGCGGGAACACACCTGATCAGCAAGCGTCGTTCCCCCAGTGTGGATGTCGAAACCGACTTGGCAGGAGCTGACAAATGATCAGATTCCTCAAACGAGGTCACGTGAACACGAGAACGCACGCGATGACGATATTTTGCCACGTGAAGCCCCAGTTCCACAACTGATAAACAGCCGAGTTTGCACGAGTGATCTTGACGTTCCGAACGGTGAACTGCTGATTTGAGACCCATAGACCGAAGTTGCCGCTGAGCACGCAAAGATCAGCGGAAGGCGGGAAAGAATTGAAAAGAGACAAACCCGTCGAGGGTGAGGTCCGACATGAACCCTCCGGACCCATTCTCCATGAACACACTGTGTACATTTGAGTTGCAGTTGAGTACTCTCACGAACCAAAGAACGAACCCCTGGTGCAAGTTTCCGGCCGCAGTGCTCATTTTCATATCGATATTTATGAGCGATGTGGCCTGTCCGACCTGCCAGTGGATTGCCGTCCCATACAAGTTAGGCGGGACCGCTGTGACGTCGATCTGGAAGTTTCGGACGGAACGGAAAAAGTTCTATGTCGTGGCGCTAAGCACTCGTGCGAAGAGAAAATATTGGTGCAGAGGAGACACACGTTCTGGTTAGTCCACCAATTAACTCCGCTGCCGTCGGGGTTGGATACACCGGGAACGTATGGGTCGCCATCTACGAGCGTTGATCAGCGACGCAGTTAGGACAGCTCGGAACAAAGACTGATGACACACCAATGACAGCCACCCCGACGAAGTTAGAGGCCGCGACGAGTTTTGGACGATTATTGTAGTCGCCAACGCTGGGGGAGGGTACAGTGAGGAAGGGAGATCACCCGTCATAGATGGGTTGACTCACAGAGAAGTAAAGTAGAAACTACGCAGGGGTCAGCGACTCTCCGGGGCGTAGAATAACATAGAACTCACGGAATGATCGGCGCAGTCACTTTGTACTATGAAAGTAGTTTAACGTGAGTAACAAGAGTGTGATCGAACTTGAGTGTGATCGAACTGACAGTGCCGGTGGGAAAATAGACCAAGACTGGCTTGACCTAAAATCGGATAAGCGCCAGTGGAAAACGATCTGAATGGAGACGCACGCTGGACGAAGGGCATCCCTGACCGCAAGCTCCGCCATCTGAGATCGCCTTGTTTATGGCGACAGTGTCGTCTGATGGAAACCGTCACGTCAGTCGCCGGTCGATCCTTGACAAGGGATCGACACACCCGCCACACCATCACCAACGGCCTGGCAAGTGGCGCATGAGTTCGAGTGGTAGACGTTGAATCAAAGATGCGGACTCACGCCGTAGTCCTTTACGTTGCGATACACCTGGTCGCGAGAATACATTGGTCAGGGGATATCAATGATCTCGTGATAGCACACACTTTGAACCCAGGGTTGTAAGTGCTCTTACCATGGGCGTGCAGAGAAGCAGTCCCCATCCAGAATGGGCCTAGACGTCCGTGAGTTCTTTCAACGAAGGATGAACCGTCCCGGTCAAGCTACTCACTGCTGAGCGATCCCGCACCGGCGACCGGATTCGTGCATGTTGCTGCCTGGACCGACGCGACTGATATGAGCGGCAGAAATGCCAAAAGAGAGTGGGGTTTGATTCGCATAGTGCTGCGAATGAGAATCGAGGTGGAGATTCAGTTGCTCACTCGATGCACTATTATACGGCCTCAGAGTCGGTCTCCCAATCCATCGACATGTAGCCGGGCGCTGGTTTCACGTCGAGATCTTCCCACCCCTGCGAAGTTCCTGAGATTATATGTATGAGAGGGCGGGAATCTGCAAAGCATCGGTCGCGATCGCAGCCTAGGTTTTGATGAGAAACGGAAAGTATACTCAGGTTCCGAAAGCTCGAGATCAGAGATACAATACATGGAGGTTCAAATGGGATGGACAGAACGTGAGATTTTCCGACATACTTTCTCTGATTCAGGAGGGCAATTTCGCCTTACTGTAAGTCTGTAATGCTCGTAGGTCGTACACGAGAGTAACCAGCGAGGTAGCTTATCCCGGATCGACGTGATCTATATCCTATCTCAATCAATTTCTGCTGATTGACTTTCGACACTTTGTGGACTGGACCCTACTGGACCCTACTGGACCGACGCTGCCATGCGAATCCTTCGCACGCAGCGTTAGTTTGGCCCAGTCTCTTCTGACATACCATTTATTTAAAGCGGAATCTTCCAAGACTCAAAAAACCAGCTTCCATGTTGCAAACAGAGATCGCTTTCGGAACGCGCAGAGAGCACAGCGCACAGATCTTTACCAAAGGACCGAAAAGACAGGCGGCTTGGCAACTTTTCATCAAATAAAAACACTTGGCACTGGTCTCGGAGCCGGGCTCTGAGTGAAAATCAGGTACTTGCATACATAATACTTTCCCGACTGACGCCAGTACGTCGTCCAACTGTTACATGGAGAACGTGTTTTGTTCTGCAATCGCCAGGCAGTCGAAAAGACGGCTCCCCAACGCGTGTTAGTCCGTGAACACAGACATCGAGCATCCGCATCCATTCAACCTCTGTGTCAGTTGATGAATTTCCGATGCGATGTATGGAAGCTATAAGGATCACCGCCAGAGCTGGCACTATGTGATGGTCTCGAAATGCCTCAGTGATCACGGGTCTCGCAACAGTTCGTTTCAACTTTCATCGCCTCTCCTCCATTTCACCCCTGAGATCTGACTGAGATCTGTCTACGGAACATGCATATCTGGAACTACCCTCCGCATCAGAACTCTGGAGATGCAACCCAGGCATCCGCGGCAGGACCTGAACTTGCTTCTATCATCTGCACCCTTTTCATTCAATTGGTGTGTATGTACATCTGGATCGTATTCGGAATGAATGTGGATTACACGGGCTGCGGATCAGCGAAAAAGACCGCAGCCGCTACTAACTTCTGCGACACGAGGGAGAGCATGGCATATCTCAATGGCCGTTGCCCCATTGCTATGTCCCGATGCATGCACTGCATCATCTCCATCACAGCCGGCTTTTTGAGCTCGCGAACAAGGATCTCTGCGTGCATCTCTTGAATTTCCGCAAATCTTGTACCGGTGCATGAGGCTCTTTCCTGTGGCACGTGAGGAATAATTGTACGCACAGCGAGGTGAACGTGCAGAATGACTGCTTCACAATGTTACTCTCGTTCAGATTTGCCTTGATGGAGTCGGCGGCAAGGTGCTTCAGTTCTCTCAAGTCAAACTGGAGCTCAAGGAGTCAACATACCAAGTACCCAACACGTGTCTGATGAATGAGACTCTCTCACCTTGTCCGCCAACTTGTACATCGACTTGGCAGAACATACTGGAGTATGTTCATCTCCGGGTCCAGCGAGCGCTCTGAAACGAATGCGCTTGGTGTACAGATAGTAGAAAAATGCGTTCCAGCTGTATACAAGGAGGGGATCAGCAGATGCTGCTCAGGCGCGGAGAAGTTACGTTTTGTAAGCGTGGCCTTTCTCCGTGATCGCGTATCCCATCTGGTGTGTCCCCATCGGCTCTAGCTCTTGATCCTCGATATCCACCGAGCTGGCAATGAGGGAAGATCTGCCAGATACGAATGAGATACATGGATTTTGAGCAGAAGACGAGGATCGTACTGTTCACCAGGGTCTCCTCTTTCCTCGTCCTCATCTAGATCGCTGTCCGAAGCATAGTCGTAATCGTCGCACGTCTCGTCCTGCTGTATCGGCCGGTGGCGTTTCAGATCGACGCGGATCGACTCAGAGAACGCGCCAGATTCTCCAGTCGTCATACCCGTTAGATCGGCTAGATCTATGAAGCGCATCAGCGGCTAAAATCTTTGTTACGCATCATGCACAGTTACATTCATCTAGCTGTGGGGAATGCCCGCGAAGAAACTCGAGTCGCGTGTAGAGCGGCCGGAGTCGGGAAACCCTGTTGTGGCCGGAATCCACCGCAGTTGTCTTCGAGTACGCGTAGAGCTTCAAGTCAATGTCCAAGCTCCCGTGCAGAGTAGATGCAATGATCTTTGCGGTATTCGGACTGGGGTGCTCTCCTCTGTATGACCCGGATGCAGGGCTCAAAGATTTCGGTCCTAGGATCGGAAACAACACCGAGATATACAAGGAGAGAGTGACAGGGGGTGCACTATGAGGAACAACATAAACCGCCAACGCGGCTCTTCTGCGTCCGTCACAAGGTAGCAGCATTGAGTCTGTTATGCGCGGAGCGCCCGTTCGAGCGTAGGTGGAAGCATCGGCGCAGATGTTCTCCACACAAAAGCCTATCTGCGCCAAGGGGGCAAAGTGCAATGCACTTGGGTTGAACAGGATGGTGACGGAGCTGCTTTCGCCTTCTTCCCCTGTGATCTCAACCACGAATCGCCAACCCAGACCGCAGATTGCACTAGTTGCCTCCTGGTTGGGACACCTCCCGGCCGGAATCGTGAGATCAAATCTGGATCGGTAGCCGGGGCCAGCGATCCAGGATCCTTCAGCAAGAGTAAGGGTTGGACGCATCGATGAGTCCGGGAAGTAGATTGATCTATTTGTCAGTGTATGCCAATGACGTAGACGACGATCCGGTCTGCCGGGAGCGTCGGCGGTGTCAGGCAGCACTCACTAGGACGCAGGGTGATTTTAGAGCTATCTCGATACAAACGGTAACCAATCCCCAGCGACGATGCGTTGTGGAACGAATGGGTGGGTCGAGATTGTACCCATCTTGCAACTCTCCTTGAGTCCTTGCTACCACGTCAAGGACATCAAGTCTGCGGCGATACCAATCTATTCGAAAAAAGTACTCAAGCTTATGATCTGGCCCGGCTAACATGCTCGCAAACAGAGGCGCAAAATGCACTGGAAAAAAACGCGCTACAGGCACTGGTAACAAACGACTTCCCCGCGTGCAACCTAGCAGTTGAAAGATACAGTCTGGCTGGCTTTCCCGGCGTTCTTCTGATCAAGCGCGACATTCACACCGAGCTTCGTCTGGAGATCGTTGAGCGACGCCTAGCCAAAACGGTCAGTGAGAGACTGCAGAGGAAGCGAGTCGGGGGAGGACATACAGTCTGCGCCGCGGTGGGCGTGCCACCGTGCTCCTTGATGATGCCCTGCAGCGCGACCATGGTGCCCCAGATCTTGAGCACCTTGTTCTTCGTCAGGCCGACGCTGACCGCGCTGGACTTGCCGGCGGCCTTGAACGCCGCCTCCGCCAGGACGGCGCAGTGGGCCTCAGTCTGTGCGGCGGCCGTATGTTATGTCAGAGAGCGCAGATCGACTTGGGAGTCGACGGGTAGTACGCACGTTGAAGTCCTGGACCTGCGTGGACGACAGGTTGCCTGCGGGGAACTTGGCCTTGGCCTCTGCCAGGGCGTTGCCGCCCACGCCACCGGAGATGGTCAGCTGCGCAAACGTGCGCGCGGAGCGCTTCTCGACGGCCATCGGGGCAGCGAAGGCGGAGGCGGCAAGCGCGAGGACGGTGAAGATCTTGAATTGCATGGCGTGTAGTCGAACGAGTGTGTAGCGGCAAACGAATGCGGGAGAGAAAACGTGTAAATGAGGCGCAGCCTAGGCAAAGAGTGAACTACTCGGGGAAGAAGGTGAAAGCCTCGAAGGTATGAGGTGGAGAGTGAGCTGAGGACAGGGAACGTGCTCGGGCGGCATTTTATTCGGGGCGCGTGGAGTTATAACGTAAACTGCCCCGTGGGCTTTTGCAGATGCATCATGTGCTTGGAATGTCCTGTTGCCTGGGTGACGACGCCTTGGATGGCAATCCTGCCCGGAATCCGCGTTCGGAAATCTCGCAGAATGCGGATCCAGGATGAGCAGTGAGAATTTTAAAGACCCGCCTAGTCCGCCACTAGAGACACGTCGCGCCGGTAGAGCAGAGTGAAGACACTGGCAATCGAGGTCTGGAAAGATCGGCCGGTCACGAAAGACAAATGTGGTCACTATGGAGGCCGGGAACTATATGCTGATAAACGGAGGACGTATCACTGATACGCGATAGTTTGCCGACATAGGATCAATTTCATGATGCGCTCCATGTCATGATGCGCCTATCTGGACGGCTGAAAACGTTATACTAATAACCGATGTCTGAATCGTGGATGGCCGCTCGGCAGATATTGATCAGATGATTGACGCAATGATCAAGACCCCAGGTAGCCGACTATCGCAATATCGCAACATCGTAATATTCGAAAAGCGCAACATTCGAGATAGGATCAGCGGCCGGGTCGCCGGCGCGAGCAGGCTCGTCGCAAGTCCGGACTCCCAGGCGACATTCCAGGGCAGCGGTTCGTACGTCGTGTTCGACTGGGGAAGGAGGTGCGCGGCCTCCCTGATACAGCGCCGTCGAGGGTCAATTCACACACCCATACTGTAGCTTGGGGGGATCCTGTCGCTGACGATCAACAACGCGACGGCCCAGTCGCAGTTCTCACTGTCGTTCACCGAGTCCGCGGAGTTCATCAGCCCGCTCAAGTTGGACGACTCGTGCCAGCCCGCACGGCTGCAGAACTGGGACAGAATCCAGACGTTCCACGTGCCGCGAGCCACGGGGCTGCTGACGCAGACCGTGGGACAGCAGCGCGGCGGGTTCCGCTTCCTGACGATTGTGAGTGCGAGCGCGGAC